GGTTATTTTTATTGTCAACTTTTTTACCGGGGTTAACCGCTATACCGGTTACCGTGACAACCCTAGTGTGCGTGCGCGCGTCCATTCCCCAACTCAGTGTGTGTGTGTGTGTGTGTGTGTGTGTGTGTGTGTGTGTGTGTGTGTGTGTGTGCGTGTGCATGTCCATTCCCCAATTCAGTGTGTGTGAGTGTATTTGGGTGTGATTGTGTGTGTGTGAGTCCTTCCCTCAGTCTTTTAGTTCAGTTTTGTGTTTATCCGCCCTCCTTTGGTTCTGCTTCCCCATTTAGATGATTGTTGTCACCTGTCTTCCCTCCAGCCCTCACTCCACACACCTGCTTCCTGTTTCCCTTAATTACTCCTCCCTGTTATTTAAGCCCTGTCTTGTCTTTGTCTTGTGTCGGTCCATTGTGGTAATTCTGTCAGTCTGCTCGTGTTGTCTCTACTGTTTTGATCTCCTGCTCAGCCCTTGGATTTATTGGTTTTTTGGCTCCAGCCCTTTTTGGATATATTTTTGTTTCACTCATCCTAATAAAAGGATTTTACTTTACATCATCTCCTGCCTCGTGTCATCTTGGGTTCCTGCATTTTGGGTCCTACCAACACTGAATCGTGACAATCCTTGCTAGTGGATTCACTCACTCATTTAACCCTTCACCACTGAAATCAGTTTGTTCATTCCAATCCTCCTAAATTATCCTCCAATCATCCAACTGGAATCCTTAAGGGTCCTGTAACGTCCATCCTGTCAGAATAGGCCTTGGGAGCCCAGGTGTTACTAGAACTAATGGTGTCTCCTCACCAGCGTGAGCCTCCAAACTGTGAAGGTTGGTCTCCAAACATGAACTTCAAATTCATGCATTTGTCTCCTCTTGTAGCACTTTAACATGTTTTAAAAGGCTTGTATCATGATAAGTTACACCTCCCAGACCAAAGATGGGTCCAATATAAGATAAAACATTATCATAAACACTGCAGAGACGTCATCATGTTTGAAATATGTTATTTTCCTGAGCCGTTACTTCAGCCAAGATATAGGACTGCATGGATTTGATGAAACCACGCTGTCTCATGCAGTCCTATATGTGTAACACACACACACACACACACACACACACACACACACACACACACACACACTGCAGCATGTTAGAATCATGTGAATGACTAATTTAACTACATTGAACTGCTTTTGTAATAATTTAATCTCTTATTCTGGAGTAAAATAAAGAAACAAGCTAAATCATCACATATGTGTGGCATCAAGAAGCATCTTCTGAGTTCAAACACAGGGATGGAGCACAATGTTTACACCTGAACAGGATCAGGATTAACTCACAGAGGCCTGCAGGTCTTCTGTTTTATGAGCAAAGCGCTGAGAATCCGCTTGTTAGGAGCGTTAAACGTTATTTTGCCGCTGCCGTGTGGAGCGGTAGAGAAACACGTTTCAAACACGGAACCGAGTCTGGTTAGGGAACCGAGCAGAATTCTGATGACGTCACACCGGTGCGCGAAGGAGCGGGTTCCAACCCACAGGAGAGGAGGCGAACAGCGAGTGGATCACAGGGACTGAACTGATGTTTTTGAGCAGAAGTGTACCCCCCCCCCGGTTTAGACGTGGCGCTCATGCAGTTGTCTCTTTCTGTTCCGATGCTGCTACACGTAATATTTTTAATTTATTAAGCCTACAGTTTGTTTTTACTCAGTAATGGATATGATTTAAAATGTAGCGAATTACAATTCTTTTTTAAAAACGTACTCAAGTAAAAGTAAAAGTACAGATTTTAAAAACGACTTAAAAAGTATAAATATACAAAAAACTACTCAATTACAGTAAAGTGAGTAAATGTAATTCGTTACTTTCCACCTCTGCTGAACTAGGCATGAACTAGTTGAAGGAATGCTGGAGGAGTTTTGTTTTTGTTTTGATGGCAAAAACAATTTCAGGCTCTACTTTCCCCTTTGTTTAGTACTCGTGTCGCTCACTGTTTACATGCTTTTGCCGTCCACCATGGTGGACCCACGTGATTAGGTGACGTCGGTACAAAGGGTCAATAGGCAGGACGCTCATTTGTCCCCAAAAAGAACCAATAGAGCTCCGGGAGTTGACGTCACTTCTCCCGGCATGCAACAGTTCAAATCGAAACGGCGCCATCTTGGCAGGTAGAGGCCGGCAGCTGGACTATTTGTTATTGTCAGAAAACTCAATCAGACAGGAAATATGGTAGATTCCTGTTGTGCTCCAGGATGCAGAACAGACACGGACGACATAAAGAATGAGCCATCTACAGGATTCCTCTAGATCCGGAACGCCGCAAACGTTGGATCCTTGTAATAAAACGCACTAGTGACGGGGCTGAAATGAAGCGGTGGGATCCCGAGAGTAAAGGTTTTCGCTCATGCAGCGACCGCTTCATATCAGGTACTTAAACCAACGTTTCCTCAACTATGTATGGTATTTATTTTAAATGCTTTTATTACGATTCTTAGTGGGCTTCCTAAACTTATTTTGGCGTGGCTTTTTCTGTCTTATTACTCATAGCAACAAGTAAACATCACGTAAAACGTTGCCTCGTGAGTTCTGCGTGCTGCCGTTTACGTGTTTTATGATCACAGCAATTAACCGGCTAAGCTGTATTTAATTTTTAAGCAACGGTTGATCAATTGTCAGATCACACATAAAAAAGCACTTTGGATTGCTTTTATCTGTCTCACCGAGACAGATCTCAGACAGATCCTGAGACGCTCCTGCCTGACATTTTTATTTTATTCACGGAAAAAAATCAGACTAGTGATTTCTCTTGGTGTTCAGTTTATACATTCAAACAGCACAGCACTCTAATTAAACTACTTACGTGTAAATCTGTTATTTGTCCATCCATTTTCATCCGCTTATCCGGAGTCGGGTTACGGGGGCAGTAGCGTCGAGAGGCCCAGACTTTCCTCTCCCCAGCCACTTGGGCCAGCTCCTCCGGAGGAATCCCAAGGGGTTCCCCGGCCAGGTCCGGTAAGAAGTCCGCTCCAACAGCGTCTGGTGTTTTTAAAAAGTATCCCAGGGGCACGGTAAGGGTCGGAGATGTTTAGTTTATTTAATTTCTGACTATATAAAATGATTTCTTCGGTTTTAAAGTGTGAAGTAAACTCCGACGAAGTAAAATCCAAGCCGATCCCGTTCACGTTCATGGTTAGATCCGTGTTTGTTTAGCTTCTTTTACCTGCCAATATGGCATCTACTAACTGAGAGTCACGTGGGGTCCGGAGCTCTATAGGTCAATAGGTTCAGATTTTCAGTTCATCAGTCTCTAGTGTGTTTCCTTCCCCACTTAGATCATTTGTTTACTTATTTCTAGATTCTCCTGTGTCTTTGTTCTACTGTGTTTAAGTTAAGTTTAGGTCTTTCGCTTTTACAGGATTTAGATACGAGTTCCTCCCCTGCTTGTTTCTGCTCTTCCCATCGGCTCTTCCTCTCAGTTCATTAGATTCACCGGTGCCCAATTCCCCTTATCACCCAGCCCTTGTGTATATAACCCTGTCTTGTCTCAGTGTGTGTCGGTCCATTGTATGTGTCAGCGCTCTTTTGACCCTCTCGAGATTCCCTAGGTTCTTGCTCATGAGTGAGCTTTTGTTTGTTGTCGTTCAGGCTTTATTCGACATTAGACTTGGATTCTCGTGCCCTGTGTTCCCCCGTCATTTTTATTTCTAAAATATGAAGTAAAAACTCCCAGTTTAATTTTCATTCATTTGTCATTAATATGTAGTCTACACCCGTGTGTTAAGTGGACCATCTTCCAGTAAAAGCAAAGCATCCAGCCCATCTCTCCAAATGCGTAAAATGTGCATCAGCCGCTAGTTAGGCGCTCCGCGCGCACCATCAGCTCCGTCAGCCCAGACAAGAGCAGAGCAAATAGAGACAGAATAGAGGATAATTGTGTCTGGATGTGGATGGAGATTACATTTTACAGCAGCCTGATCATCATTTAAATACATAAACCATCACCGGGCTTCTAGTCCACGCTACCAGCATTATTTTAATTGGTGTGTGTGTGTGTGTGTGTGTGTGTGTGTGTGTGTGTGTGTGTGTGTGTGTGTGTGTGTGTGTGTTTCCACTTCAAACACTGGTCTAACCAACCAGACCAGCATGTCCAGTAACATATTAATGTTACAATTAAACAGTTTCACTTCATGTAGGCTAGGAACGTTTCACCTGCCGTGGCCCGACCGCTTCTGCTCCACATAAACTTTGTGCGTGATCAAATGTCTCTACAGGTGCTTTCTGAGCTGAAGAGGCTATTCTGCCTCAGACTGGATGTGTCATGCGTCTCCATATTAGAGACGGGAACAAGCTCTGTTCAGCCAAAGTTTAATAATCAGAGAACATTTTTCCAAGTGACACATCCCTCAGAGAGACCGGCTTTCTTGTTCTTTCAAAACAACCAACATCCTTGAGTTTATCCGTCAAAATAAAAGTCAAATGTAAATATCTGTAACCTGCCATTCAACTGTTTTGCCTTCTTGTGAAGATTGTTGCAAAGAGAAACAATTAAATGTGATTAACCCCAGAGCCACGCGCACTGCGCTGTACTGACTGTAAATGAGGGGGAGAAGATAATCGGATCCTTTTCTTTTCAACATGGTTTAATATAAAGTTTCATTCAGTACAAACTTTAGTTACACCAATCTAACGAGACAGAGCCTGGATTTGTATTCTGAACAGTTTAAACATGTTTAAAACGGAGACGTGCGTGACGCGTCTCAAATTCGCACCTGCTCCGCTATTATGGAAATTAAACTAACAAGATGAATAACATGAAATTATTTTAGGCACAGACAACATCCCCCACACTTTTGAAAAGCTTGCAACGCACCTGCTCCAGCTCGTAACGTGACACGTCCAGAAGCTGCCCTCCTTGAACTTTTACTTTGATATTATTTCATCGTTACAAATAAAGCTAAACACAGAGGAGCCAAGTTGCTTAAAAAGAATAAAACTTCAGATTTCTTACCTTTAGTCCAAACCTGCGATGTGCTGATCGCCTCTATAACCTCCGCGCACATAAACCTGCCACCTATTCCCTTCCGTGTTCAGCTTATAAAGTCCCACCCTCCCTTTGGATCCTTGTTACGTTTCTGCTCAGAAGTAACGAAACTGAAACTGAATCCTACAGTCTGTTTTCAGCAAAGCGCCATGCATGAGACGCGCCAGTCAGCTGGGTGTGATGGAGCCACGCACTGGCCGTGTAGGAGTCTGCTTCCACCACACAGCACCAGCAACTTATGAGATTTCCTAGGAAACAAAAGTGATGAGTAACTGGGTGAGGGGCATGAAACAAAAAGGAAAACAAAACCAGCATGGGGCTGAAACATCGCTGGGAGTTTCTGAGCCCTGCCTGTGACTCAGCTGAGCTCATGTGCTAAAATAAACTCACCACCTGACTTCAGAGCTCAGCTGAACCCACATCAAGGAAATGAAACTTAGCTTTTCCACATTTCTGTCATCGCCTGGATGCTTTTTTCCACCTTTCATCCTTTATCTGCTAGTAATTAGCCAGTTTCTCATAAGTCACCCTATAACAAACAGCTCCTTGGACCTGTGAGCTTAAATTTGTGCAAAAAGTTCCTGGAAATCACGTTTCTGGTGGAAACCGGCGTGAGAACAAATGCAACAATAACACAGTAGTAAAGGGAAAGTCCTGAACAGAAACGTACCTTAAACGTGTCAGTGGGAGCAGCTCGCCCACCTCATCTCTGCCGCGAGGGTCGTGGATCCAGGGCTGCAGACAACAGCAACGATGGGGAAAGATGAACAAGTTCACTCTGAAGATGGGTTTTGATCATCATACCGCTCCCAATTACAACAAGTCGGTATTTAACCGGGAATGACACATTTACCCCGGAGATGGACTAATAGGCTCCTAACATTTGTCACCTGTCACGGTGAAGGCTCTCTTCTCGTTATAACCATCGACATTAAGGTTATAACCGTGTTTGCCGTTTAGACCCCGTTGTGATGAAAGACATGCTCATTAGCGGTATGCTAGCTAACTTTAGCAAACAGCCGAATCAGTAGCTTCTTGTTTTCACTGTTTCCACCCAGCTAAAGGCATTTAAACACGCCAGTTTAACGGCTCTGGTACTTTAAAAAGTACCGTGGCAGTTTCCCAACCTTTGCCGGGGGAAATGAACTGTGTTGCCCTGCTGCAAAGCTAACATGGTGCTGCATTCAAGTTACACAAAACACGTAGTAAATACAAGCTCTAATGAAAAAAGTATAATTTAAGAACATGTATAACTGAGTTATTTTGCCTTTTGATTAATAAGTAGCAATATATGTAGTTTGTGTGAGTGTAACTAACACGTTTTAGCAGGATTTACACAGAAGATGTTAACACAACCTATTTTTTGCTAACGCAATGATAATATAAAATAAAATATGTGATGTCACATGATGTGATACAATATATATGTATATCATTTTTGTAAAATTTTATGAAAAGATGTTGAGCAGCTTGTCAGCACCTCTTGCTGGCAGGGAACAGTGATTGCTGGATGCTAAACCAAATGGAAATCCATGTTTGGTTAAATCTCATCTCAAATCGCAGCTCCCTGCTGGGTTTGGCTTTCCATCCTTGACATCCCCCTCAAGTCTACGCCCCGTAAGCTCTCCTCTAGGTTCATTGGTCCCTGCAATATCGTCTGTTTTCTCTTTCAGTCCCTTTGCTGTTCACCTTCGTCTCCCTGCTCCTCTTTAGACACAGACATGCAACATGAGTCCGGCGTTGCACAAGTATTGAACACATACTGAGTATTGCATCAGTGTTATTGTGTACCAGGATGTTAATGCCAGTACCAGTTAAACTGAGGAGTTATACACTCTTACTGCAGAAGGGATGAATGACCTACGGTAGCGTTCTGTTTTACATCTGGGATGTCTCAGTCTGCCTCTGAAGGAGCTGTCCATGGTCTCCAGAGTGGAATGCAGTGGGTAGGAGGGTTTTTTAAGATGGAAGTCATCTTCCCCATCATCCTCCTTTCACACATCTCCTCAACTGAATCCAGTGGGCAGCCCAGAACCGAGCTAGCTTTTTGAACTAGCGTGTTCAGTCTCTTCCTGTCTCGGTCAGAGCTACCTGCACCCCGACAGACCACAGCAGAGTGGATAACAGAGCCGATCACAGAGTGATGAAAGGATGTTAGAAGCAGGGAATTAACTCAGAAGGACCTCAGCCTCCTCAGGAGGTGGAGGTGGCTTTGCCTTTCTTATACAGAGCATCTGTGTTGTTGGACCAGTTCAGTTTGCTGTTGAGGTGAACACCCAGGTACTTAAAGGCACAGGTGTGACCAAGTCACTGCTTTGCGAGTCACAAGTAAGTCAAGTATTTTCAGTCCAGTCTCTAGTCAATTCAAAGACAATCAAGTCCAAGCCGAGTCCAAAGTCAATGATGTGGAAGTCCAAGTCAAGTCCAAGTCCTTAACTTTGAATTTTCAAGTCATTATCAAGTCATCTGTCCAACTTCAATTTAATGACGATGGTAATAAATAAGATCCAGAAATAAATCTTCTTAAAGCTTCGTTTATTTTCTCAAACAAGCAGGAAGTGCAACTGGAAGGGATTATCGACCAAGTGCTGCTGCAGTTAGCGGTACAAAATCGAAGAATGGTTCATGATTTTTGTCCACGTCGTTCCACTTTTGTGCTAAAATATCAAATATGCTCAAGTCAACAGATGCAAGTCGCAAGTCATTGGCGTTCAAGTCCGAGTCAAGTCTTCATAGATTTTATCAAGTCAAGTCAGAAGTCATTAAAATAATGACTCGAGTCTGACTCGAGTCCAAGTCATGAGACTCGATTCCACACCTCTGCTTAAAGGCACCCATCACCTCAATGTCTGCCCCTGGATCTTTACTGGTGAGTGAGGAGGTGTTGTTCTCTGGAAGTCAATCACCATTTCCTTTTTCTTACCGGCGCTCAAGCGAAGGTGGTTACGCTCCAGTAAGTCCATGATGACTGGGAGGAAATACAACAATACTAGCGGACCAAAAGAAAACTGAATAACAAATTAAGATACAGAATATGTAAATTAGACACTAGAACCAAATACTGAAAGAAGTACACTAAACAGGAAGCTAAACGAAGACAACCGAATACAAGGAAATGGAAACATAAATATAACTGAACTGGGAGGGTCTAGCCTGGCAAGCCAGACTAAATAAATGTATGATTTAGTCTGGCCATGCTCCATTGACGGCTCTCGGTTGTGGGGCGGGTTCTACCGTTGTCTTTCAAATGATCTCCGCATTCCACTGGACAATGAATGTGACATACTCTTGTTTCACTCTGTTGCATCATCCCACCCACCAGGCCCTGACTGGCCCACAAAGCGGATAAAGCTCTGTGATTTGTTCACTAAGCAGAGAGAGCACTATGATTGGCCCACCATTATGGACCAATCACAGCTCTTTATGTGTTTGAAACCCCTCTAGAGAGCTGTGACTGGCTAGCCAGAGTCCTGGTAGGAGCTGCGGAGGTTCCAATGGAGCATGCCTAGACCAAACTTTGCAAAGCAAGAATTTGGTCTAGTTCACTAGGCTAGGGAGGGTTGGGATAGAAACTAAACCATGAACAGGGAATGAATGAGTGAGAAAAACTACCGGAAGATCAAAATGATGATAAAGCTGCACTGAAGCGTGAACAGAACATATGTAGATGGGAAAAGATAACCAGTGTGGAGAGAAACAACATCTAAGAGAACACCGGGGTCAGAGGTCAAGAACACACAAGGAGCAGAGCTAAAATGAATGCTGGGGAGACAAGGGTGAGATGCAAAGGACACAGGAGGACATGGACAGGACAGCAGTAGCTCAGGTGGTAGAGCGGGTTGCCTCATGATCGGAGGGTCATGGGTTCGATTCCAGCTCCCGCCAGGGGTATCCTGCTGTTGTGTCCTTGGGCAAGACACTTCACCCAACTTGCCTGAGTTAGTGGTGGTCAGAGGGGCCGACGGCGCCAAATGGCAGCCTCGCCTCTGTCAGACCTCCCCAGGGCGGCTGTGGCTACAAGTAGCTTACCATCACTAGCAGTGTGTGGATGTGAGAGTGTGTGAAAGCGTCTTTAGGTGTCTAGAAAAGCGCTATATAAGTTCAATGCATTATTATTATTATTATTATCCTATAATCCTCGCAATCCATAATTTCAGTAATCCTCAGAATCAGAATCCTGAAGTATTTTGATGTTTTACTCCAGATGCACTGAGACACACTTCCAAACAACTACAGTGTTGTCTCCAGAATATTTTTCCAAAACAGAGCAAACACAAACACTTTCACAGCGACAGCGTTTGTCTTCACGTTCACGACTGAAATGCTTCTGGCTGTTCAGAAGACCGGATGACAGAAAACAGAATTAACTCAACATCTGAAAACAGTTTCATAATAATCAAAGGAAAATGCAGTTTTGTCAGAAAAATGTTGCAGCAGAAATTTTCTGGCAGCTTAGTTTGCTTGACTTTGGTGCGTAAGTCCTGTAGAAGCAGGTGTGTTTTCACTCAATCAGAAACGGCCGTAGGAGTGGAGTTTGGGTTAAATGCATGAATATGGATCAGCATTTATGAATTCATTACATTTTGTTTAAAGTCCTTTTCTTCCCAACCAATCAGATTTTGAGAATGGATTCTTCAGCTTTGAGCATCTTGCCGTTCTTCAGTTGAACACATCATGTTTCTCACAGTTCCACTTTGTTCTCTAAAGCTCGTTCCCAACCGTCAGACATGTGACTGAAGCGCTGCCACATCACACAGGTCTCAGGTTCACACACAACCAGCTTGCTGATGTTGGGCCTGACGCCGCACGATTGTTTCAGTTAAAAGATCTGCATTTTTCTGCCACATCTCAGAATTTCCAGCTTAGGCTTGGTTGGCCGTTGTGACTTTATTAAATGCTGAAGGTCCCACCTTCGAACAAAACACTAGCTTGTAGGCCAGAGACCAACCAAAGCAATTCAAGTCCTAAATAAATATGTAAACCAATTTTTGTTTTCATGAAACTTGATGCAATAAGCATAGAAAAGGATATTAATATTAATTTAGATGATCTGCATGGTGGTGCAGTGGTTAGCACTGTTGCCTCGCAGCACGAAGGTTGCAGGTTCAAAACTCGGCTGCGGCCTTTCTGCGCGGAGTTGCGTGTTCTCCCCATGCATGCGTGGGTTTCCTCCGGGTCCTCTGGTTTCCCCCACAGATCACAACATGCCCTATAGGTTAAAATTTGTATGTTGCTTTGGATAAAAGCATCTGCCAAATAAATAAACATAAACATTAGAAAAAAAGAAGAGAGAAAAAGAAAAATTATGACATATTAGAATTTAACATACAACATTTACATGAGATTCAAATAAGTAGGTATATAATTACCCACTGCTCATCAAAATACATATTTGTAGTGATTAATTATATCACAACAGCTGTAAAGGCATGGGGGCTTTCATGTCTTTAATGTTAACACTTGTCAGTGTCTACAAGGCATCAGTACAATACTTGCATGTGTGTGTGTGTGTGTGTGTGTGTGGGGGGGGGGGGGGGGGGGGGGGGGGTTCGTGCAAGAATTATCTAGAAGTAAAATAAATCATAGAATCTAAAACAGTTATGAGAGCACCCCCTACAAGAGACTTACTTCACTCCCACTTAATGTTTGAAAAAATGCAACAAATACTGTTGCCTGGCAGACCGAGAGGGCGGAGCTGCTAACAAATACACAAACACACAGGCTTACAATGGCATTGTGACATCATAATGTACCAGTTTACATCGTAGCATACCTCTTAGCCAATAGCGGTGGCTGATTTAAATTCAAATACAGTGCAGTTTTTACCTGACGACAGCACAACACTGACAGTTTTAGGCAGAATATTTAAAATTTAACTAAAATGCACTGAAGTTCCAAATTATTTACTACACATGTCTGCAGCACGATTAGACACTCATTCATGTTGTTTATCAGCAAATAAAAAGTTGGTTTGGGGGTGACTTGCTCTTTAAATACGTATATTAGTCCACAAACCTCTGAGACTAACGTGAGGACTGGAGGTGATTGACACTCATCAGTAGGAGTAGAAAATTTTATAAAGTTAAAAGCATCAGAGGAACAAATTCACCAGCATTGCTGTTGTGATCATAACTGCACGTATGGATTATCCCGGTTCAGTGACTATTGAACACATTAAAGTTCTGTTTAAAAAATCATTTTTCTCGTCTTTGTTTTTTACGACAGCCCCTGAAGGCGCCATGTTTGCGTACGTCGTCATGACGCACGCTTACGCATTTTTGACATGAATGTATGGTATGTATTGAAGTGGTGAGTGTTATTGTAGTGTACTTGTGTTATATCCTTGTGGTCAGGCGTGAATGTGGTTTAATGTGAAGTTGAACCGTTTTAACATTTTTATCCGACTTTATATTCGCTACCGGAAGGAATTCTGGCCAACATGTTTATGTAGGCTAACGTTAGCTAGCTGGCCGTCTCTCTCTCACCGTGTAAATTATTACTTGGTTTTAGTTTCGTGTCCACTGGCTCTACGATAATAGGAATGTTCTGGGAAATAAAGGCTTTTGGTGTCAGTACTATCAGTGCAGTACTAACTAATCTCGCCTGTTTATTGTGATTGTCCAACAGCTATCAAATAATCAAAGTTTTTGCCCTTTTTTCTGCAGAAATTCCTGCTTCTTCTGCAAACATGGAGTCTCAGAATTCAAATCTAACCTGTGCCATATGCTTGGACCGCTTCAAAGTCCCTGTCACCATTCCCTGTGGTCACACCTTCTGTAAGAACTGCATCACCCTTCACTGGGACACCAAGAGCAAGTCTGACATCGGACCCCAGTGTCCCATCTGCAACGAGGAGTTCCCCACCAGGCCCATCCTGAAGCGTAACGTGTCCCTGTCGGTCCTGACGGAGGCTGCAATCAGCACCGGTCCCTCCTGCAGAGAGCCTCAGGGGAGGGGAGGCGATGGGGCAAAAGCCATGCAGCTGTGTGATCGACACAAGAAGCCCCTGGTTCAATACTGCAAACAAGACAAGAAGCCTGTGTGCCCTGAATGCAGCATCTCAGAATGCAAGAACCACCAGAAGGAGTCACTGGAGGTGGAGAGGGAAAATCAAAAGGTATAGTAATAGATTACACAAACAAGTCATTCAGAGCTATTATCAACATTGTCTCACACTTTTCTCCTGTTTTTGAGTTTATCACATACATGATTTTGCAAATCTATTTCATCAAAGGTAACCTGAGGTAATGTTAATAAAGATTACGGATGTATCCGAACCAGCCTGGACCAAAGCGAAAAGTAATTATCCCCTAAACCGACTGGTTCCAGTGTTGGTGAGAACTGGTAGCAAGTCTTTCCCATCACTGCTGAGGAGTTTTGTTCCCCTCTTCTTATTTGAGTTCTGCCACAACAGAAGGAAAGGGCTGTTTCAGGTCAAAGGTCAGACAGTCTCCCGGATGTTCTGCTAGAGAACAGAATTCATGGTTCCATCAGGTGCAGCGGGTGGTCCAGGTCCTGAAGCAGCAGAGCAGCCTCAGACCATCACACTACCACCACCATGCTTTAGTGTTTGATTCCAGAGTGGGATGCTCACCTTCCAGATGTTGCTGCTCTGGTCTCATCAGTCCTACCCAGAAGTCTTTGAGAACATCCAGATGTGTTTGGTCACCAGAGGTTCCTTTAAAAAGGACACAATGTGCTGATTTTTAAAATCTTTTAGCTTACTTGATGTGAGCGTGGCCTCTGAAACTAAACTCTGCTTTCTAAATGAGGCCGGAACGCTTCCACACGGGACCGGGTTGGCTGGGATTACTGCTTCCTAATAAGTGAAATCTTTGTTTGATATAGACATTTTCATTTGCCTATCTGAAAATTTTAGGCGACCAAAACTTAAAGTCAGAAATCCATAAGATGACAAATCATTTTTCACGGTACGGTAATGTCACGGTCTCTTCCTAAAACCCAGTTTCCATTACAGCTGCTGCTGAACAGTAAAGGGAAGGAGGTGCAGAAGCTCCTGGAGGAGACACAGAAGAGCATCAGCGACCTGGCTGAGAACATCAACCACGCTAAGGTGAACCTTCTGCTTTCTGCTGACGTGACCTAGAACCGGCTTGAAACTGGAATCAGAACACAGCAAAGCAGACATGTGATTCTCCACCCATAGGTGTCCCTTGAGCAGACTTCATCCTGGATGAAGCTGAAGTTCTCCACCTTGATAAAAACCCTGAGTGAGAAGCAGGAGGCCACAGAGCTGTTCCTTCTGGAGCAGAAGGAGACCGCCATCAGTGAGGCAGAGGCGCGTCTGGCCCAGCTCATGGAGAACTCCCAGATTCTCAAAGAGAGCCAGGTCCAGATAGCAGCTCTGAGCACCCTATCTGACACCGACTTCATTAGGGTGTGTACCTCCGTCTTCACATATGACCAGAGTCCTTTAAACCCGGTCCCCCTGACTGAGAGCAGGGTTCTGTACAGGTCTGCTGATGTTGTTTTGGACCAGAAGTCCTTCTGTGAGTATTTTAGAGTCAATAAAGAATGAATGCATACTTAAAAAGCCCTTAAGGCAGCATGATAAGAAACCGAGATGTTACATAAACACTGCATGTAAAGTCTTCAGTGGTGACTTTAACGTCCTAGCTGGTGTCTGAGTCCAGATGAGAGGCGTGGGACACCCTGTGTATTTATTATTGTTTTCAGTAAGAACATAAAAGTCTGATTGCAATCTAAAATCTTTGAGTAATTGTTATTTTCTGGAAAATGTGAATAAGTATGTAAACCTTTGGACCCTCCCATTAGTGAGGAATATGAAATCACTCTGTGATCGTTTGTTTGTTAGATGTCAGCTGGAGGTGATGAAAGGGTTCACTTTAGAACATGGGCAGAACATGCTAACTCCACACAGGCGTGGGGAGAACATGCTAACTCCACACAGGCATGGGGAGAACATGCTAACTCCACACAAGTGTTGGCAGAACATGCTAACTCCACACAAGTGTTGGCAGAACATGCTAACTCCACACAGGCTTGGGGAGAACATACTAACTCCACACAGGCGTGGGGAGAACATGCTAACTCCACACAGGCGTGGGGAGAACATGCTAACTCCACACAGGCATGGGGAGAACTTGCTAACTCCACACAGGCATGGGGAGAACATGCTAACTCCACACAAGTGTTGGCAGAACATGCTAACTCCACTCAGGCGTGGGGAGAACATACTAACTCCACACAGGCGTGGGGAGAACATGCTAACTCCACACAGGCGTGGGGAGAACATGCTAACTCCACACAGGCGTGGGGAGAACATACTAACTCCACACAGGCGTGGGGAGAACATACTAACTCCACACAAGTGTTGGCAGAACATGCTATCTCCACACAGGCATGGGGAGAACATACTAACTCCACACAGGCATGGGGAGAACATACTAACTCCACACAGGCGTGGGGAGAACATGCTAACTCCACACAGGCGTGGGGAGAACATGCTAACTCCACACAGGCGTGGGGAGAACATGCTAACTCCACACAGGCGTGGGGAGAACATGCTAACTCCACACTGGCGTGGGGAGAACATACTAACTCCACACAGGCGTGGGGAGAACATGCTAACTCCACACAAGTGTTGGCAGAACATGCTATCTCCACACAGGCATGGGGAGAACATACTAACTCCACACAGGCATGGGGAGAACATACTAACTCCACACAGGCATGGGGAGAACATACTAACTCCACACAGGCATGGGGAGAACATGCTAACTCCACACAGGCGTGGGGAGATCATGCTAACTCCACACAGGCGTGGGGAGAACATGCTAACTCCACACAGGCATGGGGAGAACATACTAACTCCACACAGGCATGGGGAGAACATACTAACTCCACACAGGCATGGGGAGAACATACTAACTCCACACAGGCGTGGGGAGAACATGCTAACTCCACACAGGCGTGGGGAGATCATGCTAACTCCACACAGGCGTGGGGAGAACATGCTAACTCCACACAGGCATGGGGAGAACATGCTAACTCCACACAGGCGGGAGGAGAACATGCTAACTCCACACAGGTGTGAGGAGAACATACTAACTCCACACAGGCGTGGGGAGAACATGCTAACTCCACACAGGCATGGGGAGAACATGCTAACTCCACACAGGCGTGGGGAGAACATGCTAACTCCACACAGGCATGGGGAGAACATGCTAACTCCACACAGGCATGGGGAGAACATGCTAACTCCACACAGGCATGGGGAGAACATGCTAACTCCACACAGGCGTGGGGAGAACATGCTAACTCCACACAGGCATGGGGAGAACATACTAACTCCACACAGGCATGGGGAGAACATACTAACTCCACACAGGCGTGGGGAGAACATGCTAACTCCACACAGGCGTGGGGAGATCATGCTAACTCCACACAGGCGTGGGGAGAACATGCTAACTCCACACAGGCATGGGGAGAACATGCTAACTCCACACAGGCGGGAGGAGAACATGCTAACTCCACACAGGTGTGAGGAGAACATACTAACTCCACACAGGCGTGGGGAGAACATGCTAACTCCACACAGGCATGGGGAGAACATGCTAACTCCACACAGGCGTGGGGAGAACATGCTAACTCCACACAGGCATGGGGAGAACATGCTAACTCCACACAGGCGTGGGGAGAACATGCTAACTCCACACAGGCATGGGGAGAACATGCTAACTCCACACAGGCGTGGGGAGAACATGCTAACTCCACACAGGCGGGAGGAGAACATGCTAACTCCACACAGGTGTGAGGAGAACATACTAACTCCACACAGGCGTGGGGAGAACATGCTAACTCCACACAGGCATGGGGAGAACATGCTAACTCCACACAGGCGTGGGGAGAACATGCTAACTCCACACAGGCATGGGGAGAACATGCTAACTCCACACAGGCATGGGGAGAACATGCTAACTCCACACAGGCATGGGGAGAACATGCTAACTCCACACAGGCGTGGGGAGAACATGCTAACTCCACACAGGCATGGGGAGAACATACTAACTCCACACAGGCATGGGGAGAACATACTAACTCCACACAGGCGTGGGGAGAACATGCTAACTCCACACAGGCGTGGGGAGATCATGCTAACTCCACACAGGCGTGGGGAGAACATGCTAACTCCACACAGGCATGGGGAGAACATGCTAACTCCACACAGGCGGGAGGAGAACATGCTAACTCCACACAGGTGTGAGGAGAACATACTAACTCCACACAGGCGTGGGGAGAACATGCTAACTCCACACAGGCATAGGGAGAACATGCTAACTCCACACAGGCGTGGGGAGAACATGCTAACTCCACACAGGCATGGGGAGAACATGCTAACTCCACACAGGCGTGGGGAGAACATGCTAACTCCACACAGGCATGGGGAGAACATGCTAACTCCACACAGGCGTGGGGAGAACATGCTAACTCCACACAGGCATGGGGAGAACATGCTAACTCCACACAGGTGTGGGGAGAACATGCTAACTCCACACAGGTGTGAGGAGAACATGCTAACTCTATGCAGAAAGGCCGTAGCTGGGATTCAAACCTGCAGCCTTCTTGCTCTGAGGCAGTAATGATTGTACACAGTGATTTAAATCAGCAGCTAAACTGCAAGGCCACAAGAAGCCAATCCAGTGGAAGTTTGTGCGTGTTTGTTGGTTTCTGTGGTCACATGGTCGTTCCAACATGGTGGAAAGGGAGAGGAAGTGGATTTGGTCCTTTTTACAGCAGGTCACCTCACAGTTCATTGTTCTTGAATATTATTTTTCTCTGCAATGCTTTCCTCACAGAAATCAACACTTGTAGAAGTTCCTCATTGCAAAGACGTTCCCACAGACGTGTCACCAAACCTGCAGGATCGCATAAACGGAGTAACGGACGTCCTCTCCCGCGTGTCAAAGCTGGTCTCTGAAGACCTGGAGAAGGCTGTGGGCACAGCAGTGGGTCAGGACAAAGACGGTAACCTGCCTTTGAGAACGTTTGTCCCTCCCAGGATGGAGGCTCATCTCTGCTGTTCTTCTGTGTTGTGGTTCTCCAGGATCTCCTCAGGACAAGAGACCAGTTCTGGCTGTTGTTCCCAGTCCTGCTGCTTTCAGCCTCCCTGGTGGGAAGGAAGGTCTTAGTGCCTGTGAGTCCTCGATCAGAATCTTCCTCTGTAGAGTTTTAATTTAGTATAAGTTTCTGCCTCGTATGTCTTTTTCAGACCGATGCTCTCTGACCTTTGACCCTCGCACGGCCAATGGACACCTTTCTCTGTCGCTGGAGAATCGGAGGGCGGAGCACCTGATCTCCGGGCCGCGTCCTGTCCCTCCATATGAAGTCCGCTTCGATCACACCTGGCAGGTGCTCTGCTTTCAGAGCTTTAAATCCGGGCGGCACTACTGGGAGCTGGAGGTGTCCAAACCCTGGGCCTACGTCGGGGTAAACTCCCAGCTGCACAACTGCACGGTTTTAGCCCGTGGTTTTTTCTCCTGAAGGTCCAAATCTGCTCGTTAATCAGCCGTTTGGTTCGACCATTCACCAGGAGTTCACATGGCTGAAGCAGGAAGTTTTCAAAAGTCCAACAAATACAAATCTACGGTTTCAACCTTTATTTTAATACATGGTGCCGGTGGCTTTACATTTCAAACTTTACTGATGGAAAACATCGATCGGAGGCCGAAGCTTACTCCAGAGGCATGTTTACCCAAACGTTTCTCGTTTTCAGCCTAGTGACATCCCCAGCATCTGCTGCCATCTCGGTCTCTTCCTGTTGCTCTGTTGTAACCAAGTAGGATGTGAAACCGAACGTTAGGCAGGCCAGGTGTGATTAATGAGGCTCAGGCTGCTGAAGTAGTTTGAGTGAGTAAATGCTTTTGCTGAGTTTAGGAGATTCTACACAGTCTAGTAAATGTGGCCCCAGGTCTACATTTTAAAGAACAAACCTAACGGTGTTATAGATCTCCTCACAGTTCACCTGTTCCCTTTGCTCCGCCTCCTCCCAGGTTACCTATGAGACCATCCCCAGGAAGGAAAAAGGGAAGAGGTGCATGGTGGGGATGAACGACCTGTCCTGGAGCCTGCAGCTGGATGAGCACCAGCTCTGCGCCTGGCACAGCGGGAGGCGGGAGGCGCTGGCTGGCCCCTCCCACCACAGCCGCATCGGCATGCTGTTGGACTACGAGGCCGGGACCCTGACTTACTACGGAGACGGACAGACCAGACTTCACGCCTTCCACTGCGCCTTCACAGAGGAGCTGTTCCCTGCCTGCTGGATAGGAGAGGGCGTCAGCATCACCCTCTGCTCCACATGAGGAACCACTAAGGGTCACGGACTCTGACGGCCTCGTTTATCCACTCTTCTCTTTTAAAACCATCTCTGTGTCGTTGTTTGAAGGGACCCTGCTGTGGTGACGAGCCCTTTTCCTCTAGAGCCCAATGTCTCTGGTTCACACTACGTCAGTCTCACCGGTTTTATCTGGCTGGCTTCGATCTAATCACCAAAACGCCATTTCAGCACAGGTCGTTGTTTCTTCACATGAAATCAGCTGTTTTGTGTTTTAAAGCTTAGGCCCCGCCCTCTCCACCACAGATAGTTCCTCCATTTAGAAAACCATCTTGATCCACATCATTCTCTCATCTCTAAGTTTATTAGACACGCACATGGCAGATGGTTGGAGGAGTTAAACATGGAGTCAGCCATGCTGATAAACTGTAGAAGCATCTGTTAGTGCTGCGCACACACGTAGTCATTATTTTAGTGCATCTTATTTAAAAGTTTAAATATTCAGCCTAAACCGCTGTTATTGCACCCTCTTCAGGTTAAAACTATGCACTGCATTAAAATTAAGAGTCCGCTATGGCTAACGGCTCAGCAGTATTTCTCAGCCACTCATAAGCCGATACGGCTTAGAGCCGCTTGGCTCCTCCGTCACTCCTTCCTCCCTTTCCTTTGGTGAAGGAGGTGGGGGGACATCCTCCAGACTAGGAAGTCTGCTGCTGTTTCTCTGTCCGTTGGGGGTGCGTGTTTGTTAGCGGCTCGTTTCTCCAACAGAAGATCTGCATGCGGCAGGGCGGAGTTGCTGTCAGTCACGGCTGCAGCGCTGCCCTCTCGGTCCCTCCTGTTGGCACATTTTCTAAACTAAGTATGAGTGGAGACAGACTCTGGTGGGGGGCAACTTGCTCTTTAAGTGTTCACTCCTTAACCAAAGGGTTGAAGGTTGTTGCCTTGCTCAGTTTGTCTCAGTCATTGTGTCCTTGGGCAAGACACTTCCCCCCCCCCCCCTCCTTACCTGCTGGTGGAGGTCGGAGGGACTGGTGGCTTATGTCAGTGAGCCCCAGGGCAGCTGTCGCTATGGTTGAGCTCATCACTACCAGCGTGTGAATGACTGGTGTGTTGTAAAGCACCTTGGGGGGTGTAGGGCTCTATAAGTCTATGTAAACACACTGTTTACCATCAGCACTGCAGCAGGGCCTGAAAAACGACACAAACTCCTGAAACGTTTAGTCTGAAGGTGGTGTCGCTAATGACGTAGCGCCAGTCTTATTCTAACCAGGTGTTTTCACCTGCTGTGTGATTTCCACCCAACACTCACCACCCTCCATCTTCATTAGATGCAAATTTACCTCCCAAACTTAAGGATTGTGTAGAAATGTTCTTGTTCTCCACGACAACGCCCCTGGATGGTTCAAACTGTCCCAGCAGGAATGACAGTGACCTTCAGCAAACATGTTAACAGATGCTAACTCTGACCTCATGAAACATGTCGGCACTTTTCTGTTACACACATTCAATTCAATTTTATTTTATTTATATAGCGCCAAATCACGACAAGTGTCGTCTCAAGGCACTTCACATAATAAACATTCCATACAGGTCAGGTCATTAAGCCAATTAGTAAAACGTTTCCTATATAAGGAACCCAGCAGGTTGCATCGAGTCACTGACTAGTATCAGTGACTATACAGCAATCCTCATACTAAGCAAGCATGCAGCGACTGTGGAGAGGAAAACTCCCTTTTAACAGGAAGAAACCTCCAGAGGATCCTGGCTCAGTATAAGCAGCCATCCTCCACGACTCATTGGGGATGGAGAAGACAGAGCAGACACACACACACACACACACCAACCAAGTAGTGTTTCTATGGTTACATTGTGATTTCTTAGTAAATATTCTATTTGGTGAGAGATAAACTTTATTGTATTTATCCTAGTGAATCTATAATTAAACGGATAAACTAGCAGTAGCACATCCAACGTCAAGGAAAGTAAAAAGTTATCAGGAGAGGGAGAATGAAGTGGTTAGCAGCAGTGTGCTAGACGATGGCCCCCTCCATGAGGCCACCACAGCTCAGCAGAACATCATTGTAGCTTCTTCTGGGGAGAAAAACACTTAGAGAAAAAATAAAGTTAACAGCTGAAATTGCACAAAATAGTACAGTTAAAGAGCAGATTGTAGAAGAAAGTAGTCGAGTGTGAAAAGTGGTCAGTGTGTCCTCCAGCAGTCTAACCCTATAGCAGCATAACTACAGAGATAACTCTGGATAACCTAGCCTTTTAGATGGAGGCATGTTGGAGGCAGGGCAAGGGAGAGCCGTCTTTACCGACTGTACACTCCACCTCCCTCTACTCCCCCACTTGTCCAGATCTAGGCTAACATCAGATTTTAACCATAGGCCCTATCAAATAAAAATGTTTTAAGCCTAGTCTTAAAAGTAGACAAGGTGTCTGTCTCATGGACTAAGGCTGGGAGCTGGTTCCACAGGAGAGGAGCCTGATAACTAAAAGATCTGCCTCCCATCTTAATTTTAGATATTCTGGGAACCACCAGTAGACCTGCAGTCTGAGAGCGAAGTGCTCGGTTAGGAACGTATGGAACAATCAGATCACTGATGTATGATGGAGCTTGATTATTAAGAGCTTTATATGTGAGAAGAAGGATCTTAAAATCTATTCTGAATTTAACAGGTAGACAATGTAGGGAAGCTAAGACAGGAGAGATATGATCTCTCTTTTTAATTCTCATCAGAACTCTAGCTGCAGCATTTTGGACAAGCTGAAGACTTTTAACTACATTCTGTGGACTTCCTGAGAGTAATGAATTACAGTAATCCAGTCTTGATGTAATAAATGCATGAACTAGTTTTTCAGCATCACTCCTGGAAAGTATGCTTCTAATCTTAGCAATATTCTGAAGGTGGAAAAAGGAAATCCTACAAACCTGTTTAACATGGAATTCTAATGACATGTCCTGGTCAAAGAGAATACCAAGGTTCCTTACTTTGTTCTTGGAGATTAATGTAAAGCCATTCAGGTCAGGTGATCGGCTAAGCAATTTCCTTTTCTGGATTTCTGGTCCAAAGATGAGAACTTCCATCTTGTCTTGATTTAAAACACATGGGAGTTTCTGTTCAGGTTTCAGTGTGGAGCATGCAGGAGTAATTAGGAAGAAGTCGCTGTGAAGCACATTTCTGTGGATTCATGAGCTCACTTCTCCTTCAGCTTCCTCTTTGCACACTTCTGTCCCGTCATGCTCCTCTCCGCTGCTGGGCCTGACAGCTACAGGACTTCTGCTCCGTTTCGTGTTGGAAACAGGAGTTACTACTGAGGGTTATCGGTGGTGGGATCTGCTGCACTTTCAGATGTCTCCTACTGGTTTGTGACCTTTTTGATTATTACTTTGAGCACTTTTTGAGCTTTGTGAACTTTGATCTGCTGACTGACTTCAGGCTCAGTGTTTTGGGAAACATTTATGCACATGATCCAAAACTTCACGGATTCATCTGGGATGTCAAACTCTCCTCTCTCCCCCCTGGTGGACATTAAAGCCCAACCCTGCTGACTGGAGAAATAAAGCAGCCTCCAAGAGTCGAGAGCGGTTTATTAAAATACAATCCAACGTTTACATGCATCAGTAGACATCATGCTTTGTTTCCCTTTGAGACATTTTACAGGAATTGACAATAAATCAGTTTGGAATAAATACAGAGCTTTGTTTTATTATACAAACAGCCACAACAGAGCAGACAGTAGCCCAATGCACAGCGCGCCGAGTGCAAGGATACAGCCGACCACGAAGGAAGTCCAGGTCCGGGCGGGAGCAGATGTGGAGTTGCTCACATAACTGGAGAGTTCAGAAATTCTGAAGAACGGTCGTGTTTTTATCATAAAAGAAAAGAGGGAGCGGCTGAGTGGTGGTGAACCTGTTTACAATAACCTAAACAGGAAGTGACATCACTGAGGGACTGCACTGCTCTTGCACATCCCCCTCAGGCCCGGGTTCAGGATCCAGGGATCCCACTGAGATCTAGGAGTCTCCACAGGAACAGCCCCCGGCCACGCTACGCAGCTGTGTTTGGGGTGGCTGCATAAAACCCCCGCATCTCTGAGACGTGGTCAGAAAGCCGTAGATCCTGACCACTCTGGACTCTGACAACACTCCTCTGCTCGAGTTAAGGTGCTTGTGAACGGAATGACGACACCAGTGGAGGTGGGAAAGCAGGGACAGGCAGACTTGACGGGGGAGGGTTATGTCCTGATGTCCAGTCTTAATGGAAGGAGAGCTGGTCCCGTAGGATGGAGGAGACTGAGACAAAGGAGGACAAGATCGAGCAGGTCTACTGATTCTTCTTGTCTTCTGGGGGGGAGTAGGGGGGAGGTTTGTCCTGGGGGAGAGGAAATCTGCTGTTAAGAGAGTCTGGTCACACAGAAGAAACTAACGGAATGAAATGACTGTTTTCCACCAAAAGTCATTTCCTCCCTCTCCTCTGACACAGAACTAGTCTGCATGAGATATGGCCTCAAGGTCTCATGCATTTGTTATAAACTGCTTCCTTTCCAGCTCAACAGAAGAATGAAGAATTGACTCTCCTTTTAATGAATAAAGAACTCTATTTTAATAAAGCTAATCAAACAAAGTGTTAGTCAATAATAAGATGTGACCAATCTGTGAAATAAAATATTAATTACTTTATTATAATCCTATAGAATTTAATAAGTAATATGACTTTCCACTAGGACTGATCTCACGTAGCGTTAAGACATCACACATTACTTTCACTGATCCAATCAGAATCTGCCAGATCTGACGGAGGCGTGGTTTTGGTGGTGCTTGGTAAATCTGTCATCTTTTCATTCGACCATAAACCAAAACATCAGAAGTATGAAACTATGCCCACGTCATCTTTAACGCCGGTTCAAAGCGTTCTAGAGAAGTTGTCGGAGTGGCCAATCCGTAACTTTCCTCTTCAGCCAAAAGAACCAACGACAAGCTGGATAAAATCTGTTGCTGTTCCACCTGCTGCAACGGTTCCTTTCAGAATAAAAGCTGAACCATCACGACCCCGTTTTGGGTCTCGTTAGATGCCAATGAAATTGTGACTCGGAAGTATCTCAAGACTGGTGGTCGGCTGCCGCAGCTGTTCCTACCGGCTTCGGCTCCATAAAGGTCAAGCTGGACCTCTACACCTCCTGATCTAACGGGGACTTCCGCTAAGGGTACGTAGACGGACAGAATGGCGTTGAATGTGTTTATGAATCTCCTAACCAAAGCTTAACGCGAAGACATCACCTTCAGTTCCCATCAGAACTAATTGCTTCTTCGGATTTGTTGGTTCTGAACAACATTCCACACTACACCATTCTCTGTCTCACTTCACCTTAGTTACACCATACACTTAGTGTTAAAGTTAGTCTAGTTTAATTTGTTTTAATAAATCTTTAAACTTTTAAACTTGACTCTCTCTCTTCTACGAAGCTGTTATCTAATCTCTGCAATAAAAAGTTCCAATCTTCTGGTTTAAATAACCTCACAGATCCAAGAGCTTGATTTCATATTTCCTATGGAATCCTACGCCTTATGGCTTATTAAATAACACGTAATTTAATTCATTACAAAACCAATAATGTGTGATTGTTCTGTAAAAGGAAGCTAATAAAGTTTTGTCCTGCTGCTTTAGCACAGCTGTTGGGTAAAGATTAGGTCCAAGAGCTGATCTACAGGAAACCGATAAAAATAACTAATAATTCATGAGTGTTAGGCTCAAACACCTTAAGAAGCTCGTTTGTAATTTAAATACTTTAACAGCGGCAAAGTCAACAGTAGTGTTATTATTTATGCGAATGCAGCAGGAGTACGTTTAGAACATGTCGGGTCAGGAGGAGCTGTGGCCAGATGTCACCGGGAGGATTACCTGTGGCAGATACACACGTGTGGGAGGAAGAGTGGCGCAGCTGGAGCTCGCTGCTGCCTCTGCTGCTTTGGCCTCCGCTGAAACCAGAGAGGAGACACGATGAACTTCAGCTCATCAGACTGGAGTAAGCCTTTAATCCCCCTGAACCGCGCCTGCTTTAAAACGTCACAACACTACTTCCTGTGGGCTTTTCATCCCAAAGGCTTATAGCTCTTTATATGGCAGACACGCCCTGTCCTAGAAAACACTTCCAGCTGGTTTCTGACTCCTGGTGGTAAAACCAGACCAAGTCGACCAACCAAGCAGAGCCTGGTGTGGAGTATCTGTGAAGCACAAGCGAACTACGCCCTCAGCTGTCGTTACAGGTCAAACTGAACAATGAAACCAACTACATTTCACTAGACGCCAGTGGTTGTGTGTCCAATCAACAAGAGTAGTCATGTTCTGTCTGAGATCTGCTGGCTTTTGTGTTTGTTCTCATGATGTGATCAGACGGTCTACAGCCCTCAGGTAACTAGCATGAGGAACATGTGACCTCAGGCCATGTTGGCAGAAGTAAACATGATGGCTGCACATGCCAGCGTATGTGTATGTGTGTGTGTGTGTGTGTGTGGAGTTGAAGGGAAGCTTGTTTCAGAGTTGACGAGGTTTGATCCTCCCGTGCAGAAGGGTGACACCTGTCACTGATGGAAGAGTCACCACGCACGGCTGCTCAGGCTGACGTCACCCAGCACATATCAGACATGGGTCTGGGTTTAGACCACATATAAAGGTGACCTGGCTCGGACCTGAATTAAAAGTCGGGCCCACGCTGTCATAAAACCATACGGGTCACTTCAGCCAGAGTCCCACCTGCTGCTGAGGAGGGGAGGTCTGGATCATTTGGTGGCTGCTGACCCAGAGGAGCAGAATAAGGAGGTGGAGGGACGTAGCTCGCAGAAGCATCAAATGCTGGAGGACTCGGGTAGAATCCACCTGGAGTGACAGAGGAAACGTTATGACCCGTGTTCTACCGATTCTGTGTGGCTCTATGAGCAGCCTCGGTTCAGAGAAACAGCTATCCACAACAAGGGTGGTCACAAACTCTTAAATTTAATCAAATCTCATAAGTTTCATAACAGTTTAAACGCACGCGCACGCACACACAAACACACACACACACACACACACTCACAAACACACACACACACACGCACACACACACAGATAGATTTGGGCAGAAAAGCATTTCGTCAGCCTCCAATTGCACACCTTCTCTCACTTAAAAAGATGAGAGGCCTGTAATTTTCATCATAGGTTTACCTCATGAGAAACAAAAAGGGAGAAAAAAAAGTCCAGAAAATCACATTGTCTGATTTTTAAATCATTTATTTGCAAATTATGATGGAAATTAAGTATTTGGTCTCCTACAAACAAACAAAATGTTTGTCTCTCACAGACCTGTAACTCCTGTAGAGCTCCTCTGTCCTCCACTCACCACTGGTATTAACGACACCTGCTGGAGCTCATCAGAATAAAAGACACCTGTCCACAACACCAAAGAGCTGTCAAAGGACACCAGAGTAGGTCAGGTTTACAGCATTCAGCAGCTCGTGTCCTGACTAAGACCAGGAGGCAGAAGCACATTAGACCTCTCTTAAACAAGCTGCATTGGCTTCCTGTACGTTTCAGGATCGATTTTAAGGATCTTTAATGGTTTTTAAATGTCTTAATGGTCTTGGGCCTTCTTATCTCTCAGAACTGCTTCATAAATACGAGCCTTCGCGGTCCCTGCGCTCCTCTGGCAGCCGTCTCCTCATCATTCCAAAAGTCAGGACACACTCCCAAGGCGAGGCATCCTTCCAGTTTTATGGCCCTCGCCTCTGGAACAGTCTGCCAGAGGACCTCCGGGCCGTAGAGAGTGTTCTTGTTCTTAAGGCCAGGCTCAAGACTCACCTTTGTAGAATAGCTTTTAAGTGATTTTGATCTATTTTAGCCTGTTTTTACCATCTTTTATATATTTTATCAGTGTTTTATTACTTACTCATTTAATTAAATAACATATTTAACTTATAATAATGATTAGTTTTAACCAGCCTTAATACTGTGTTGTACAATATTTTATAAATGTAATTATATGTTTCTACTTGGTTATCTTTTATCACTGTGTTTTATTTAGATTTTTATTTATCAGCTGTTTATGTTTAATTTGTTTCTTAACTTGTTATCTTGGTCTCATTAGTAAACTAGTGTTTCCTCTGTGGGGGCCGGCTGCCCCGGGGGCAGCGGTGGGCTGTGGCGGCCGGGGTGCTTCCCATGTCTACTCTAGCCAAGGCTACTGCTGCCAGTCTTGGTGCTCCCGGTGCAGTTGGCTCCTTCATGGCGTTTTCGTCTTCTTTGTACCTACTACATCTGCACTCAGCCAGCCGCCCTTTCTCTATTACGTGTGTGTGTGTGTGTGTGTGTGTGTATTTGAGTTGACTGATTTGTTGGCAGATATCTGACACTCCCACACAGTGTCCTCAGTGTTTGCATCTGCTTGGGACGGGATTGAGGGAGGGAGGAGGGAGAAACAAAGGGGATCTCTTATGTGAATCTGTGTGGGAGGGGTGGGAAACCGACTGCTGTCTGGTTGGTTTTAATATTGTAAAGCGCTTCGAGCTGCATTTGTATGGAAAGCGCTTCATAAATAAATTTTGATTTATTGATTGACCAGAAACAAGAATGTGAGCCTAACCAGGCTGGGCTGTCTGAATCTGCTATAGGTAAGTGGTTCGATGTGAAGAAATCAGCTGTGGGAGAAATTATTAGAAAGATGTACAAGACCATGGATTATGTCCCTCGATCAGGGGCTCCACGCAAGATCTCACCCCGTGGGGTCAAGATGATCATTAATGATAAATGACCTGCATTTGTATAGCGCCTCTCAGAGTAAGGACTCCAAAGCACTTTACACTACAGTGTATCATTCATCCATTCACACACACATTCACACACTGATGGTGATGAGCTACAGTGTAGCCACAGCTGCCCTGGGGCGCACTAACAGAGGCGAGGCTGCCGAGCACAGGCGCCTCCGGTCCCTCCGACCACCACCAGCAGGCACGGTGGGTTAAGTGTCTTGCCCAAGGACAAAACAGCAGAATTCTCTGTCCGGAGCCGGGATTGAACCTGCAACCTTCCGATTACTGGACAACCCGCTCAACCTGTTGAGCTACTGCTGCCCATGATCATTAGTGACCTGCAGAGAGCTGGGACCAACGTTACAACAGCTACCATCAATAACACACGAATACACCATCAGGGACACGTGCCCTGCTTAAGCTAGTACGTGTGCAGGCCCGCCTGAAGTTTGCTAAAGAGCGTTTGACCTCTGTCATCGCCAACAAAGGGTACATAACAAACTAATGAGATGGACTTTCATTACTGACTGAATACTTATTTTCCACCATAATTTGCTAATTATTTAAAAATCAGACAACGTGATTTCCTGGAAATTTTTCTCATTTTGTCCGTCATAGGCAGAGGTGGACAGTAGCGAATTACATTTACTCAAATTACTGTAACTAAGTAGTTTTTGTGTGTATTTATTCTTTTGAAGTTGTTTTAAAATCTGTACTTTTACTTTAGTATGATTTTTTTTTTTATATTTGTACTTTGCTACATTTTCAGTCATATCCGTTACGGAGTAAAAACAATGGTAGGTAACGATAAATTAAAAATATGCACTTTGCAGCGTGGGAACAGAGAGACACCTGCGTGAGCGCTGCGTCTCGCCCGTGGGGGTGTGGGTGAACACCTTTTATAACGAGGATGTTGAACAGACACCTTTCCTGCAGTTCTGCTCAAACATCAGTCCGGTCCCTGGGACGCACTCGCTGTTTACCCCCTCTCTCCATCCCTCTCCTGTGGGTTGAAGCCCACACCTTTGTGCACCGGTGTAGTGTCATCGGTATTCTGCTCGGTTCAGTAGCTGGACTCGGCTCTGTGTTTTGAAATGTGTTACCCCAACCGCTCCGCACGGCAGCGGCAAAATAGCGTTTAGCACTCATTACAGGCGGATTCCCAGCGCTTTGCTCATAAAACAGAAGACCTGCAGACGGCCTCTGTGAGTTAAAACATCTTAATACTGGAACTAATTTAGTTGTAAACGTGTGTGTGTGTGTGTGTGTGTGTGTGTGTGTGTGTGTGTGTGTGTGTGAATGGGACGTTGGGAGCTCTATTTATACATCACACATAACTTGAAAGGCCAGGATTCTTTGATTCCAACAGCTGATCAGAAATAATCTGTTTCTCTAAACCCAGGCTGTTTAGTCATCAGCGACAGGCAAGATGTTCTTCACATTTTCACAGAAACACACTTCTTAAGATCTGAAAAGTCACTTAAAAATGTAACTACAGCCACTGACGATACAATACAAGCGATATCTATTGGTGCCTTTACCTTGAGGAGGGCTGGGGTAGGAGTACCCAGGGGGAGGTCCTGGTGGGTACACTCCATTAGCTGGTGGAGGAAGGTAAGCGCAGGTCCCGTTAGCCATGTAGGGACAGCCGCCAAAGCCTGGAGTCACAGGTTGTCCTCTGGATGCTGAAACATGACGAAATATCAGCAAAGATGCATTCAACATACGGTTCAACTTGTTGCTAGGCAACCCTTTACCTGCAGCTGCTACCTGCAGCATGCACTGGCCAAACTCTATGGCTCCACCAGCAGCAAACACAAGTTTGAATGTAGCACAGCCCTCCCAACCACCTGCAGGACGCAACATAAGGAATAACAGCCAGCTGGATGACAGACTGACACTCACTCATTCACTCACTCATTCACTCACTCACCTCCAGGCTCTGCACTAATGGTGCCTTTGATGTAATTGGCCCCCAGCACTGGTTGTTTGATCTCACAGCTCTTCATCAGGTAGAAGGGCATCATGAACGACTGCAGTGCATCCCGTCCTTTAGCCACAAAGATCACCTGGAAAATCCCACATATGAAGCAACTAATCTTGTGAGAACAGAATAAACCTGGATCTTTTGAGTGCAATGTTCTGGTCTATAGGGCCTTACATGGACAAGCACCATCTTACATTGGTGATCTTCTCAGTCCCTACACCCCCAGCAGGTCCCTGAGGTCCAGTGATCAAAGCCTACTGGTTGTGCAGCACCAGGCTAAAGGTCAAAGGTGACAGATCATCTGCTGCTGTGGCCCCCAGACTCTGGAGCTCTCTCCCCCTGAGCCTGAGATCAGTGGACTCAGTGGTCTCCTTCAAAGAGCAACTAACCCCTACCAGAGTATTACTCCATTCCCACTTCCTGTTTAAAAAAAATGCAACAAATGCTGTTGCCTGGCAGACTGAGAGGGCGGAGCCACTAACAAATACACACACACAGGCTCACAACAACATTGTGACATCATATGGTACCAGCTAACGTTCTAGGGTACCTCTTAGCCAACAGCGATGGCAGATTTAAATTCAAATGCAGTGCAGAGTTTTTACCTGACAACGGCACAACGCTGACAGTTTTAGCCAGAAAATTTAAATTTGAACTAAAATGCACTAAAGTGCCGAATTAGTGACTACACGTGTCTGCAGCACGATTAGACACGCATTCATACAGTTTATCAGAGAAAAAAAAAGTCGATTTGGGGGTGACTTGCTCTTTAAGCAGCTGAAGACTCACCTGTTCAGGCTTTGGTGTGACCTGTAGGGTTGTCACGGTAACCGGTATAGCGGTTAACCCCGGTAAAAAAGTTGACAATAAAAATAACCGTCCAGTTTTTAATAAACTAAATTATCTCAGTGGGTTTACCGTGGCCGCGGTTTCGGCGCGGTGACCCTTACCAGCCACCGTCGCTTCAGCTGGCTGAAGTTCCCGCGGCGCGTACACGCACTTTTTAATTTGCAACGGCACCAAAACTTTGAAGCTGAAATAATGGCGGAAGGAGGAGACGGCAGCGCCCAGGACATCCAACAGCCCTCAAAGAAGACTAAATCGGAAGTATGGGCATATTTTGGATTTCTGAAAAATGCTGAGGGACAGTTAATAGAAGACGGCTATCCCGTTTGCAGAACGTGCAGGAAACAAGTGTCTGCAAAAGGCAGCAACACTTCGAATCTAATGGCACATCTGCGTGACCATCACCCACGTCTCTACAGCCAGTGCAAGGTAAGTTAACATTAGCATTTTAGCTTAAACGTGAGGACGCGAGGACTTTTGGCTGAGGGAGAATGCAACGAGTCACTATATACTGCAGCCGCAGCGTCCTCTGCCAGCATTTAAACCGTGTCACGGACACCCTGTTGCTGGATGAAGCATCTTATTTGTTTATGATGAAGAGAAATTAGTTCCTTTAGTTCCTTGTCATTGATTTGTTTACTTATTCAATGCCATTTATACTTGAACATTTGGATTTGATTACATAGTGTAGTAGTTATTTTAGTAATTTGTTTAAAGTGGCTATTTATTTTAAATGCATATTTTTTAAGGTTGACTTGTACAGTGCTCAAGTCAAGTGTGGACTGGAGTTTTAGATTTTCATTTTGATAATGAAGAAAACAAGTATATGAGAAAACAAGTGGTGTTTCTTTGATTTGTTTACATATTGTTTTCGTTTTGAATGTTTGGATTTGTATCATTTAAACCTGCACTGACTTCTGTAACATGTTCCAGAAAAAGAAGCTATTTGTTCCTTTACTTGTGAAAAGTTGCACTTTTGCTAAGGCTTTGTGTTATTTTAGGTTTAATAAACACTGTTAAACATTTTCAGAACTATTTCAGTTTGTGTAGAACAGGACTATCAATGCTTTCTGAACATATGCAACACCGTTTAAAAAATACCGCGATAATACCGAAAACCGTGATAATTTTGGTCACAATAACCGTGAGGTTAAATTTTCATACCGTGACAACCCTAGTCACCACCCTCTCCTTAATCTGCTCTTTCTACCTATTCCACCTTTCCTGGGATCCACCGATTTCCCTAATTCCTATTCATTTTCTCTCTCCCTTTCCTTACATTTTAACCACAATTTTTATTTTGTCATGTTAAACATTTTTTAACCATTAAAAAAAATCTTTAATGTTTTAAAATTGTTTTTCTGAAGCGCCTCGTGATTTTTATCTTGAAGCGCTATACAAATGACTGTAGACTTGGGACTACATTACGGCTGCATGGATATTAGCCTGGCCTGCCAGACTCGTAGTTCTGTACAGAGAGTCTGCTAAGAGGCAGAGAGGCACTTGAGGGGCGGGACTAGGTAGCTCAAAAATAACCAATCAGAAAAAAGGACAGAATGCTGACTGTACCAAGCGACGCTGTAGTTAAAAATGGCGTCTGACGACAGCGCAAACTTCTTTCTTTAGAAGAAATGCTTTTAGCGCTTCTACTTGTTGAAAGACGTGTCCAAGTCATTTAGAGCAGCGGAAAGGGCCGCAGTGAACTCCGCTTCAGTCAATCAATCAATTTTATTTGTAGAGCACCTTCCACAACGTTATCAGAAGCCCAAGGTGCTGAACAGCATCATCATAAAAACATTCCCAGTACCTGGGCATAAAAGCAAGATAAAAACATAAAATCATAAAATAACAAGCAAACAATATTACAAATACAGAGAGATAATGGAATACGACTAATCAATTAAAAACAAATGGTGGACAAAATAAGATCAAGCATCCTGGTCAAAAAGAAGAAGTATTAAAACCATAATGTCAGGGCAATTCAAAGAACCCTAGCGCTGAAAAGCAATCAAATAAAAACGAGTCTTTAGACGAGACTTAAAGACTTGAAGGGACGGTGCCTGCCTAATGCTCAATGGCAATTCATTCCACAGATTTGGAGCCAAAAGAGAAAAAGAACGATAACCCCTCGATCGATATTTCGACTGGGGGACCACCAGACGTCCTTGCTCGGCTGAGCGAAGAGACTGAGATGGAGCATACCTGTGCAAAAGTGCAGTAATGTAAGAGGGGGAACTGCCCTGGAGGGCCTTATAAACAAGAGTTTAGATCTTAAATTTATCTCGGTATTGCACCGGGAGCCAGTGCAGAGTAGCTAGCACTGGGGTAATGTGCTTTCGACATCTAGTACCTGTCAGGAACCTAGCCACTGAGTTCTGCACAAACTGGAGCCGTGCAACCGTGCACTGGGCCAGACCAGCATACAGAGCGTTACAGTAGTCCAGCCGGGACAGGACGAAGGCATGCAACACAGACTCCAGATGAGCTCTGGACAGCAGAGGCCTGATCCTGGATAGTCTTTTCAGGTTAAAAAACAGGACCTCACCACTGTATTTACGTGAGTGTCAAGATTAAGTGAGGAGTCAATTTTAATCCCCAAATTACTGACTATTTTCTTTTCATAGGGGGTCAATGGGCCAAGGTCAATATCAGCACCTGAGCCATTTCTTCTGCCAGGACTAAGTACTATGACTTCCATTTTGCTCTCATTTAGGTGCAAAAAATTAGAAGCCATCCAACATTTTATGTCCTTCAAACAGTCCAGAAAAGGAGAAACAGATCTAACTTCCCCACATCGAAGAGGGAGATAGATCTGGCAGTCATCAGCAAAAAAAATGAAATTTCACATTATGCTGACGAAGGACTCCAAGAGGAAGCAAATACACTGCAAATAGGAGAGGACCAAGGACAGAGCCCTGTGGCACACCCCAACGAAGTCTCACGCAGGGTGACGTCCACCTCACCCATCTGAACACTAAATGTCCTGTCTTGAAAATAGGAGCAAAGCCATTGGAGGGCCTGCCCAGTTATCCCCACCCAATGCTGTAGTCGTCCCAGAAGGACTTCGTGGTCGACTGTATCGAAAGCTGCAGATAAGTCCAGCAATAGCAGGACAACATCGTTATCCATGTCACAGGCTTAAAAACGTGTCATTAAAAACCATTAAAAGAGCAGATTCAGTGCTGTGACCTGTCCTGAACCCTGACTGAACGGTCTCCCATAAATCATTTGTGTCCATAAAGGCAACCAATTGTGAATACTTGACCTTCTCCAGCAGTTTGGAAAGAAAAGGGAGTTTTGAGATGGGCCTGTAATTAGCTAAGGTTGTCACATCCAGTCCCGGCTTTTTTAACATAGGATGAAGTCGCCATGTTCGACAAACTCGGTGTTGTGGTGTGTGATGTACGCTACTCAGCGCTGATTGGCTCGGTAAGAATTCTCGGGGGTGGAGTTATTTGAATAGGAGAGTTCCCAGAGCCTTTCTCTGTGCAGGATTAGACAGAGGAGGAGTCTGGCAGGCCAGGCTACATGGATACAACACAGTGGCTGAAAAAGCCTCTGGTTTCCGTTAACAAACGCACTCGAATATCGATTCCAGCAAATCCTTCGTGTTACTTTTTACTTTTCATTTGCAGTTGATGTGATTACTGAGCTCACCAGGAATAACTGGTACCATTATTGAGTCATTTGCAACCAAAATGCTACTAGTTTCCATTCAATCCATTTGTTATGCTAGGCAAAAGCTAACGGACTGCTGCTGGAACAGGAGAATTACTGCGCCGGTCACAAAATGCTTTTTTCTCACTTATCTAATAACTATGGGAAATACGGTAACAGACAGATTTTTACTTTGTGGTGGAATGTGTATTTCTTCAGGTTAGACGTTGAGTCTTTGGTTGTTGGCTGGGAGACAAAGATTGCTGTGCATCGTCAGATTTTGCATACCTCGCTCCATTTTTAGAGTGAAAAACTGCTTGAATTTCCAGGAAGTGAATGCATTTTTTTTCTTTCAATGCGAGTAGGTTGATTTGGCTGCGGTTGTGGCTCCGCCCAGTCCACCTCCTGGTCTGAATCCATACCTGGCCACTCATGTTAACGCTGGTGCTTGCTAGTCGAGGGTGTAGCCTTCTCATAGCTTCAGCCATAGCGTTACTATGGTTACAGAGGCACAGATCTCTTTATGTTCTGTGGAATATTAGTGTTTATTTGTCAGTAATACTTAATCCAGCTCAGGTAATCAGACTATCAGAAAGCAGGTTCAGTTACTCCAGCAGCATTTTGTGATGGATGATTTTGTTATAAGTTCCTCTCCTCGAGTAACGTGTGTGTGTGTGTGTGTGTGTGTGTGTGTGTGTGTGTGTGTGTGTGTGTGTGTGTGTCAGATTGAATCCTGTTGAGGTGCCCTGGATCAGCAGGAGCCCACGGCTGTAGCTCACCCTGTACGGTGTCAGGAAGACGCTGCCCTTCCTGCTCTGCCTGAAGGCTTCAGGTAAACTGTCAGCATGGCAGAAGGTGAGCTCCACGTTGTCATGGTTCATCAGCACACTGGTGACAGAGAGACAGAGAGAACTGAACAGCCCAGCTCACGTACAGAAATAACGGGATTACAGTTTCCCGCCACAGCTAGAGTCAGGGTTTACACCTGCCTCCATGTTCTAGAGCAATCCAACAACCCTCCTCAGCAGAGCAGGCCCGGGCTGAAGGAGGGTCACGTGGACGCCAACAGCCAGGCTGCTTCTAGCTAGCAGCTCGGCGGGAAGGTCCCAGAATTCTGGAGGAACTTTTAGCTTTCGGCTCTGATCCAACCCCAGCCGAGATGTTCCGTCTGCGCAGCGTTGCTAGCGGGGCTGGAACCGAACACGACTGCATTAAGTTCACGAGTCTGAAACGGTACCTTTCACTGTTGTTGATGATGACTCCGCCGGACTCCGAGTGGTTCTGGTTCAGAGTCATGTCGGCAGGCCTCCGCTGTCGGTCACACACCGCAACTGTGTTCCAACACCGGGCCTTCGGTACCGGTTTACCTGGTAACGGCTACAGAACAACTACAGGCCAAGGCTCGGTGATGCACGCACCTGCTCGACGTAAACACGACTGGAAACATCAACACAGTAACGTCACACGCATGCGCAGACAGGGTTTTCACGAAAACACGAATCTAGTGCAGGAAATGTGTGCAAAAGTTCTTCTGTAATTTCAGAAATACAACTCAGAGATAATTTAACACTAGAACCCACAGAGGGCAGTCGCGTGACTGGGCTGTGGTTATCTAGGGTTCTTAATCATCTGTGGGTGGTTTGTTCTGTAAATGTGGCATTTACTTGTGAATCAGTGGTGTAGTGACAATTAATTCAAAGATTCTAACATTCAAAATGTTTATATAGAGAAAAATGTAAATGGTCACAAATATGCAAAATCCTGCAAGTTCCAAGATTTTGTGTGTGTATATGTCGACTGTGTGTGTGTGTGTGTGTGTGTGTGGGGGGGGGGGGGGTTGACTGATTTGTTGGCAGATATCTGGCACTCCCACTCAATGTCCTCTCTTCCACAAGTATGCTTATAGCAGTGTACACAGCGTGTAGTTGCACAATTGTTTTTGCACTGGATGGCCACTTACACGTGGCCTTTTCCCCTGGGTGTGTGGTTTGGCAGGTTTGTTGCTAAAGCTGCTGCTCATTCTATTAACTTGTTGGATCGTGAACCTCTTTAAAAACTTTGCTCTATATGTGCCCCTTTTTTTAACTTTGAGCACCCACCCCTTCAAAGGTCTCTGCATGGCCCTGGTGTGGATTGGCAGGTTTGCTGCTAAAGCAGCTGCTCGCTCATTCTCAGCCATGAATTGCTTAGAAAGCTCATTTGCAAGATGTGCTAGGAAGTCCACTCTTCTCTCCTTCACACCAGTACATGCCTCCTGATAAAGCACGTGAGCATTCATTGTGGCCGTGTCCATCATGTTATTAAACACGGCAACTGGCCATCGATGGGTTCCTGCATGCACTGTGTAGTGCCAAAACTTTTGGTCCATAATGTCCATACCACACTTCATGGCATTGTAATCAGTGACCCCATGTTTGGCTTTCTCTTTCGGTTCTCCCCAATCTATGCATTGTACTGAGGATGCAGATGGTCTTCCTCCTCTTGGATGCGAAAACTGTGAGAGTTGTGCCAGTTGTTGAAAACATCTAGTAAGACAAAAATATTGTTAAAAATATATTTAAAATGAGCAAGAAGTAGACAATTATGATTAAAAAATGTAAAGAAAGAGAGAGAGTGAATAGGAAAGAGGGAAATCAGTGGATCCTGAGGAAGGTGGAATAGGTCAGAACAAGGAGAGGGTGGTGAAGGTCACCAAAGCCAGCTTGAACAAGTGCGTTTTCAGCTGCTTTTTAAAGGAAACCACTGAGTCCACTGATCTCAGGCTCAGGAGGAGAGAGGTCCAGAGTCTGGGGGCCACAGCAGCAAATGATCTGTCACCTTTGGTCTTTAGCCTGGTGCTGCACAACCAGTAGGCTTTGATCACTGGACCTCAGGAACCTGCTGGGGGTGTAGGGACTGAGAAGATCACCAATGTATGATGGTGCTTGTCCATGTAAGGCCCTATAGACCAGAACCAGGATCTTGAAATGAACCCTGAAGTTGACTGGCAGCCAGTGAAGCTGGAGGAGAAGCGGGGTGATGTGGGTGTGTTTGGAGGACTTGGTCAGAAGCCGAGCACAGGCATTCTGAACCACCTGTAGATGGTTCAGGGAGGTTCTGCTCAGACACGTGAAAAGAGAGTTACAGTAGTCTAAGCGTGAGGAGATGAAGGTGTGGAGAACTGTCTCGAGTTCAGAGCGGGACAGAATGGGACTCAGCTTAGCAATGTTCCTGAGATGGAAGAAGGAAGAGCAAACAAGAGAACTGACATGAGAATCCAGGGTGAGAGCTGGGTCAAAGGTCACGCCAAGATTCCTGACAGAAGGTTTGGTGTGAGAAGCAAGCTGACCAAGAGAGTCTCTGACTTTGGGAACCAGCTTGTCTGGGGCACAGATGAGGATCTCAGTCTTATCTTCATTCAGCTGAAGAAAGCTCCCACCATCCAGGTTTTGATAGAGTCTAAGCAGGTGTGCAACAGCTGCAGCTTAGACATCTCATGGGGCTTAAAGGAGATGTACAGTTGGATGTCATCTGCATAAAGATGGTAGGATATTCCTTTGAAGGAGCTCAGGATGTGCTGAAGAGGAAGCAGATAGAGGAGGAAGAGCAGAGGCCCCAGCACAGAACCTTGTGGGACACCATGGGTAAGAGAGGTGGTGGAGGACCTAAACTTGGAGACGGCCACATAAAAGGAACGCTCAGACAGATAAGAGGAGAACCACTCCAGAGCAGATCCTGATAGGCCTACCCAGTCTCTCAGCCTCTCCAGTAGCAGATGATGGTCAACAGTGTCAAAGGCTGCAGTCAGGTCCAGCAGGACCAGAACAGAACAGTCCCCTGCATCACTGTGAGTCAGAAGGTCATTAGAGACCCTAAGAAGAGCTGTTTCAGTAGAATGAGCTCTACAAAAACCTGACTGGAAGCTATCATAGATGTTATGTTCATCAAGAGCAGCTGTGAGTTGTTTAGCCACAACCTTTTCCAAGATCTTGGAGATGAACGGCAGTTTAGAGATGGGTCTGAAGCTGCTATGGAAAGAGGGGTCGAGACTCGGTTTTTTAAAGTAAGCAGGGACCTGACCAGAGACCAGAGAAGCATTAATTATAGAGAGCACGCTGGGACCGATGGACTGAAAAGCACTTTTAAACAAAGATGAGGGTAAGATGTCGAGGGGGCATGCAGAGGTCTTCATAGAGTTAACTAGTTTGGTTAACTCAGGCAAAGAAACAGGAGCAAAGCTATCTAGGATGATGGGCCTGGTTGGAGTCGGAAGAGGCAGCGATAAGGCTGAAGGAGAGATGCTAGATCTAACCTTATTGACTTTGTCCACAAAGAAAGACAGAAAGTTCTCACAGTCTGTAACAGAGTGGATGGAGGCTGTAGGAGAGGCAGGAGAGACGATGCTGCTGATGGTGTTAAACAGCACCTTTGGGTTCCCTTTGCTCTGGGACACCAGGTTGGAGACAAAGGAAGCCCTGGTGTCTCTGACTGCAGAGTTAAAGGATGTCAGAAGGTCCTTTAGAAGCAGCAGATGGACGTGGAGATGGGTTTTCTTCCACAAACACTCAATTTTTCTGCATTGGCGCTTCAGGCTGCGAAGGCTGTCATTAAACCAGGGAGTAGGGTTCACTGCAGGAACTGATCTGGTTCTGACAGGACAGATGTTGTCCAGAATGGAGAGGCAGTGCGTAAACGTGCTGCAACATACCTTAGTGGTGAATTTGTTGCGCTACAATGATTGTTTGGCTTATGGCGGAACCTCTCGACGAATCTTGTTTATGGTGTCAACAACACACACACGCACACACACACGCATGCACTTATCTTAGCTGGTTCCGGTTAGAAAAGGCGTATGAACCAAATCTTCTATTTGCCTCTGTTATTTTGAGACTGACCCGGCCCAAGAACTTCAGAACCTTGATGCGATCTTAAAAGTCATCCTGTTCTGCTGGAGTGTGGTGTGTGTGTGACTGCAGCAGAACAGATTCAGTGCTTTGTAATAATCCATCTCTGTTTATATTTTAAGTAAAAAATATATAGTTTTTTCTGCATAGTTATTTTATTTGGGTTTTCAACTCTGACCAACGCTCTTCCAGAGGATGACCGTCCACACCTGCCACCTCAGCAAAACATTTAGGTTTATTTCTACCTTTGTGTCTGAGTTTATGATCATGCTATGTTTAACAGTGTTCTTTGTGCTCCTTTCTCATCCAGCCAAATGTGTGCCATGTTCTGCTTTGTTTCAGAAAAGATTTTTTAAAGAAATTGGCTGTGATCAAACCAATGACTGTACACATAAGATGGACAGCATTTCAGAAAAGCATCTTACAAAAGGGTGTGTATGGCAGCATTCCACCACCAGAACCTCTGCTGACCGAACACCACAAAAAGACCCATCACATCTGGATGTTCCCACATGCTTCCGGGTAAATCTCTTGAGGGCTGATGAGACCAGAACAGAAACATCTGGAGTCAAACTAACAGTAAAGCATGGTGGTGGTAGTGTGATGGTCAGGGGCTGCTCTGCTGTACCTGATAGAACCAGAAATTCTGCTTTTCTGACAGAAAGTTTGACCTTTGACCTTGAACAGGCCATTCCCTCTGATATGGTTGAAGTCAGACAATTCTGAAAAGAGTGGAACAAATGTCCTCCATAGGGACATGAGAGACTCATCAGGATCATAAAGACTGGAACCAGTAGGTTTAGGGGTCAGTCACTTTCCTCCCACAGCACCACGTTGGATTTGTTCTCTTAATAAATGAACTCATCATATATTTTATTTACTCTTTCGTTTTGTCTGAATTTGAAACATTTGCCAATATAAAATATGCAAAGAACATAAATAAAAAACAGAAGACAACTTTAAAAGTTGTTTTATTTAATACTTTTTGCAGCAGAGCTTTTCCCTGAAACTGTCATGAACTGAACTAGAAGGACCTGTGATGACACCAAACACTGTAAAGCCCCTTTAAAAGTCTGTATTAGATGTGGAGTTACCAGAGGTCTGAGGTGGGAACTGTCCGATAGGGAAATCCAAAAGGTGAGGTTGGGGACGGAGCAGGGTTCTGGATCTTCGATGGCAGGCGAGTAAACGGCTGGAGAATTTACTGGCAAGAAGCATTCAATAATCTGGCGATGGTTGAAGAGCAGGCTGGGGTTTAAATAGTAGAGGAAACAGGTGTGGAGGAGGAGTTGATGACAGGAACAGGTGGGATGAATGAAGTTGATTGTGGTTGCCAGGGAAACAGGGCTTGGCTGGGGCTTGATGAGGGGACCAGGTTTGCTGCATGAAGGCTGAGGTGGGTGAAAGATTGGGAGTCATGACAGAAACATGTAAATGTGTGCTGCTGCTGCTGGTGGAGCAAACACAGTGGAGGTCTTTGTCTGCCCGGCCTGTTTCCTTTTCTCCCACTTCCCATTTATACAAATGACACCAAGCTTTTACATAAAGCTGCTTCAGATGGACTGATGTCCTAAATCTGAAATCCCAGTTTGACGGTACATTTTTTTATTATGAAGAAAAACAAATTAATCAGTAATTACACTCGGCTGACTGGACACGTGTCCATAACACAGGCATGGACACTGTCCACAATGAGAAACCACAGAAGGCATTGCTGAGGAAGCAGCTTGTTCTCGGAGGGATGTGTCCATGATCCTAGAGAGTTAGGTGCAGCAGCAGGGAGGACCAGCAAGCTTCAAGAATGTGGAGGAGCTTCACCGGGAGTGGATTGATGCTGGAATCAGAGCATCAAGGGCCTCTACACACAGACCGGTCCCACACACGAGCTCCAGATGTCATGTTCCTGGTGTCCGTCCACTCCTGAACCAGAGAACTCTAAACATCTCACGTGGGCTACAGAGAAACAGAACTGGATTGTTGCTCAAAAGTCCAACGTTCTCTTATCAGATGGAAGTTAAGTCTGCAGGTCATTTGGAAATCAAGGTCCTAGAGTCTAGAAGAAGAGTGGAGATGCTAAAAATCCTTGGGAGTCCAGTTGAAGTTTCCAAAGCCAGTGAAGGTTTGGAGCTCCATGTCCTCGGCCAGTGTTGGTCCGCTGTGGTTTCTGATGTCCACAGTGAGCGTAGACACCTCCCAGGACATTTTAGAGACCTTCATGCTCCCTTCTGGACCTGGTTCTGTCCAGACTGCCAAAGGCATCATCATTTTCTCTTTCAGCTGCATTCGTTTGCATATTGGACAGTTTAACTTGTGCATTGGATTCATTATTGGATCAAATCCTTTCAAACATTATAACAACTGTGGGATCGGGGCTTGGATGTGATCTAAAAGGTTCGTCTAAGTGCTGCAGACAAATAATCTCTTCCAACATAATGGAGGGCAACAGATATAGAGAAACTCACAAGTCACTGACACTACCACCTTCAACAGGAAGTGATGACTTCCGGCTGCAGTCTGATACGACGCTGAAATACCTCGCACACACAGCTTCCCCTTATCTCACACCCAGAAAACACACACCAGCTCCCCAAGAAGGAGTCTGGCTCATAGCATCACCATGTCAGGTCCAAGTGAGCACATCTCTAGAGGAGAGCATTTCCTTCAGACACCTGAAAAGGTAAAAGATTGTCTTTGGAAAACTGGCTTTATATTTTAAATGTTACTTTCATTGTTTTTGCTGTTAGTTTTACTTCAGGAAATTTGCGTGAGGATATAGCGGTAACCAAGCTGATCAGAACTTCTGATAACATGTTGGTTTTCACAGATGTGTGTTTCTTCTCAGACTTTTCACGTTTAATTTTCTACAAAAGAACAAAAGCGGGATTCGACTAGCTGCAGAGTTAAGGCTCCATCCAAAAGCGGAGTCAGCGTCTGAGGCTGTTTCCAGACCTAATGACGATGAATCATAGGTGAATCAGAGCAGATCAGACAGTTTCTCTCTAAAACCAAATGCTGAAATTTGATAACCAACTCTATTCTATTTTTAGAAGCTTTTGAACTTCAACCAAACAACCGATCTTGATGTATTTGTTGTGCTAAATGTAAGATTGGGTTGTAGGCAAGATACTTGCACGAGTGAATCCCTTTCAGGAGATTTTTTTGTCCTTTTTCAAATATTGAGTTGCTTGTTTCCTCACTTCTGCTTCCAAGTCTTTTTCAAACTAACTAATGGAGGAAGTCACTCAGAGAGCAGGAAACAGGTAGAGGTCAATTAAAACGTCTTTATGTGTAAGCAGGGAAAGTTCTGGTAATGCTGAAGATTTCTGGTTCTTGCTTGTTTTGATTTGATCTGACTTGGCAAAGCTTCTAACTTTCATCTCTGAAGTTCTGTGCTTCTCTGTTTTCCAGGAACATGTCCTACCAAGACAAAGACAGGTAAAACTCATCCGCTGCTGTTTGGTGACTCAACATTTCCTTCTGTAGAGAAGTTTAGGAAGCTTTATCTGAACTCAAGACCAACTTACAGCAGGATTTTTAAATGATGGAAACCAGTGGCGGTTTTACCATTAGGCATAGGTTGGCGGCCGCCTGGAGCCCCATATGTTGGGGGTCCCCCTAGCCCTGACTGCTGGCACCCCTCTGTTAATTCCACAATGGACTATTCCTTTAAGACGCTGATGCACAAACCAGAAGTGATTGGTAGTCATTCCACTCCAATCCAGTTGGTGGCGGTAATGCACCAAATTGTTTGCCAAGTACCAAAAGAACACAAATAAGAAGAAGTAGAGAAAGCAGAAAAAGAAGAAGAAGAGAGGCGCGAGCGTTCGTAACAAACTCGAAGCAGTAGTCAAAACAATAAGCATGAAATGAGGTGGTATTGGAGAGGGGTTAGAACCCAAGATGCAGAACCAGATAACGAGGCAGGAGGTGGAAAAAAACGTAAAAATCCTTTATTAAGGAGTAAATCCAGATAATGCAGGGCGCAAAAAACAAAATAAAAAAAATCCTAATAACTAAACCTAGAGAATCCAAAAACACAAGAGACCTAGAGATACTAAAAGCCAGAGAGGGGGACGAGACGAGGTTGACACAAACAATGAAACAACAACATACTGATGAAGGGACGAAAACTCTGGAAGGGGATGAGGAGGGGACGACAACTCTGGAGGAAGAGGGGACGAAGCCTCTTGGGCAGGCTGGACCGGGGACGAAGCCTCTTGGACAGGCTAGACCGTGGACGAAGCCTCCTGGACTGGCTGGACCAGGGACGAAGCCTCCTGGACAGGCTGGACCAGGGACGAAGCCTCCTGGACAGGCTGGACCAGGGACGAAGCCTCCTGGACAGGCTGGACCGGGGACGAAGCCTCCTGGACAGGCTGGACCGGGGATGAAGCCTCTTGGACAGGCTAGACCGTGGACGAAGCCTCCTGGACAGGCTGGACCAGGGACGAAGCCTCCTGGACAGGCTGGACCGGGGACAAAGCCTCCTGGACAGGCTGGACCGGGGACGAAGCCTCCTGGACAGGCTGGACCGGGGACGAAGCCTATTGGACAGGCTAGACCGTGGACGAAGCCTCCTGGACAGGCTGGACCGGGGACGAAGCCTCTTGGACAGGCTGGACTGGGGACGAAGCCTCTGGTGGAGTGTTTGGGGACTGGTGGAGCTCGGACTCGAGCTGCAGAGCAGGGGCCTCTTGGACAGGCTAGACCGTGGACGAAGCCTCCTGGACTGGCTGGACCAGGGACGAAGCCTCCTGGACAGGCTGGACCAGGGACGAAGCCTCCTGGACAGGCTAGACCGTGGACGAAGCCTCCTGGACTGGCTGGACCAGGGACGAAGCCTCCTGGACAGGCTGGACCAGGGACGAAGCCTCCTGGACAGGCTGGACCAGGGACGAAGCCTCCTGGACAGGCTGGACCGGGGACGAAGCCTCCTGGACAGGCTGGACCGGGGATGAAGCCTCTTGGACAGGCTAGACCGGGGACGAAGCCTCTTGGACAGGCTGGACCGGGGACGAAGCCTCTGGTGGAGTGTTTGGGGACTGGTGGAGCTCGGACTCGAGCTGCAGAGCAGGGGCCTCTTGGACAGGCGGCACAACTCTGGCCTCTGGAGACTGCTGGTGATGGTGGTGACGTCGACGACGAGCACACCTCCTTGGAGGTGCAGGGACGATGCCGGCAACGCCATCTGGACCTGGTGGAGGTGAGGTGGCTCGGCCCATCGGAGGTTCCGCGATGGCGCTGGCTGAAACAGAGGGAGATGAGGAGTGACGGCCCACCGGAGATGGAGAGGTGGCGCTGTCCGGACCGGGTGAGGGTAGGGAGGTTTGGCAAATCTGAGTCGTGGAAATGCGAATGGAAGGTGGTGGTGGTGTGGAGCCGAAGGTCAGTAACAGGTCCTTCGCGAAAGGCCAAAAGGAGACCTCTTCTATGGGGTGAAGGTCCAAGTAACTGGCGGCCCACCGCAGGGCTTTGCCTCCCAGGCAAAGCACCATGAACGACACCTTATTGAATTCAGAGGAGTTCAAGTCCAGGCAGCCAGCACAGTCCTGAATAAATGTCCAGCTGGTCGCAGGATCTCCATCGTACCTGTACACCTGGAGTCTCTGCTGGATCATGGGGGGGTTGGTTCGTTCTGTCACGAGGTGGTTTTGGAGAGGGGTTAGGACCCAAGATGCAGAACCAGACAAAGAGGCAGGAGGTGGAAAAAATGTAAAAATCCTTTATTAAGGAGTAAATCCAGAGAATGAGGCGCAAAAAAAAAATCCTATTAACTAAACCTAGAGAATCCAAAAACACAAGAGACCTAGAGATACTAAAAGCCAGAGAGGGGTACGAGACGAGGTTGACACAAACAATGAGCCAACAATACGCTGATACGCAGACAGGGTTAAATACACTGGGGCAGGATGAGAGGGAGATGAGCTGCAGGTGTGTGGGGAGAGAAACCAAGTGAAAATAATTAAATAATCAGTGAGGGGAGAGTAACTTGACCTAAGAATAAAGACAAAACCTAAATACCGTAAATCCTCTAATACAGGCCTGTATTCAATTAACGGCCGGGTCTCATATTTTGGCCGGTGTCGGAGTCGGCGGAGGTGAATAATGGCCGGTCTCTTATTGTGGCCGGATGGAATGTGGTAACAAGCAAGTATGGGGGGCGGTTGTGTCATCGTCTCACTTTTGATTTGCCAGTGATAGACCGCGAGGGTAACTTTAACCGTGCGGAGAGGAAGAGGAGGCGAAAATTTGATATCAAGTTCAAAGAGAACGTGCGCTGCAGAACACTGGGGAGCAATAGGGGTTGTATGAACTAGTCGACTTCACTACAGTGACTTTTCATGCCTGTCATCGACTAGTCGCTGTCACGTGATAATGACCGGCAAGACGCAGCCCTCAGAAAAGACAGTAGCCTGCTGTCAGCAGGTGACAAGCTCCTGCGCTCGGGGGGGCAACGCGCTGTGCCAGAGCGTCGGTACTGACATGCGATCGTTCATGTCGGTTCATTTCCTTTAATGTTTTCTGTCTTTTATTTGCGCCTGATGCGTTTGGCTGTGGAACGGGGCGCATCACCTTGTCATCCGGTGAAGCACCGATCACTGATGCGGCCGGCAAGCAGCGAGCACTCCTCTGCTTTTGCGGTCGGTAGATCTGCGTCCTGAGCACGGCCACAGTAACATTATCAAATCAGGTGTCGCCACCTCAAAAACTAATTTAACACGCGATCGTTCATGTCGGTTCATTTCCTTTAATGTTTTCTGTCTTTTATTTGCGCCTGATGCGTTTTGCTGTGGAGCGGGGCGCATCACCTTGTCATCCGGTGAAGCACCGATCACTGATGCGGCCGGCAAGCAGCGAGCACTCCACTGTTTTTGCGGTCGGTAGATCTTTTAGAACTGCAGCTCAAAGGTAACTCATGAGGTGAATATATATGACCCCAGGTAGCAGTTTCTCTTTAGGATTGAGAGGAGATGCAGGAAGATAATAAACAGACAGGACAGAAAAATAGTCAAATAAAAACAAGTTAGTTTTTGTAGCTGGTGGTTGCAACAAACAGACACCATTGAAGGTAATCAGAAGTGAGGAACAGAAAATGAAATAATTATTTTAATGTTTAGAGCAGCAGGAACTCTGAGAGGCTGCAGGCGCATCAGTGAGTTTGCGGCCGCTGCGCGGGGGAGGGGGGAGAGCGCTGAAGCAGAAACTACCTTTGTTAAAAGAAATGTGTTTAACTCTGCAAATGTGGGCGCAATTTTAATTGTCAAAAACTCCAGCGAACCATTAGTTCATTTTGCTCAAATAGAAATAGAGGCCTGCCTCTAATTCTGGCCCTCCTTCCAATAAAGGCCTGGAGCTTGATGAGCTTGAGTCAAATACAGGCCCGGGCCTGTATTAGAGGATTTACGGTAACTATTGATATAAGGAGGAAGGAGAACTAAGGAACCGGTGGGAACACACTAAAAGAGACTAATAAATGAAAAGCTGAACCTTTAGGAAAAAACTACAGAAAGAAAAACTACAGAGGTGTGACCAAGGGAGACCACGGGAGCAACGGACCTTGGGGGATACCTGGGGAGGGGGAAAACCTAGAGGGGCTGCAGATCAGGGGACACATGAGGAAGATGCAGACAAGGACACATGAGGATGCTAGGAGACACATAAGGAGAACCTAGAGAGGGATGGAGAACACAAGGAGACACATGAGGGAGACGCAGATGCCGACCAAGACAAATGGAGTTATCCTAGTGGCTCCAATAAGAGAAACAAGCAGCTTGCTTCATAAAAGCTTTTATCTTCACTTCTGAAAGTGATGTTGTTTTTCTATGTAAACATCAAAAGGAAGCAGAAAGGAAAGACAATGGAAAATGTTTAAAGGGAGGAAAACATAGACCAAAATTTAAAATAGAAGAAAAAGAAAGGCAAAAGCACAGGAGCACTGACAGGAAGAAGAAAGCACTCAAAGGGAGCGAACGACAGAAAAAAAGAGGAGGATAAATAAAAAGTGAAAATAACTCGTGTCAGAAGAGGGGAGAGTTTCACAAATCCAGTTAAAGATAAGATTGTCAAAAATTTAGTGTAAGGGGGCCCCATGTGTGTGCCTTGGGCCTCCAAATTGCTAAATCCGCCACTGATGGAAACATTTTGAAATATGAAAGATTACACACGAGGTAGCAAAATTTCACAGATGAAATAGTTTTGGTGCTACAGTGTGTGGTGTGCACTGCAGCCACACTGCAAAAACTATACATGGACCATTTTGAAACATGAATATTCCTGGTTTGGCTAGAAATCTCACAGAATTCAAGAAGAAAAGTGACTGCGGAGTAAACAGACATGGTGGAGGTGGAGTCTGCAGCACGCTTCCATCACCTCACTGTCTGACTGGTACATGTCATATTCAACAGGTAGTATGCTTGTTTGTCGTCGAAATCAGAGCAAGACCATCGAACATGGGGAATATTCCTGATTTGGGACTGGATCGACCCTGGCTTGCTTTCGAGCAGACCAGAACTCTGACACACCACACACAGCAGGAATATCTGATAGGATTATTTTTTGGAGCCATTATGGTCGGTGGCACAGGAGTTAAGTGCTCGCCCCGTAATCGGAAGGTTGCAGGTTCGAGCCCCGCTCAGTCTGTCGCTGTCGTTGTGTCCTTGGGCAAGACACTTAACCCACGTTGCCTGCTGGTGGTGGTCGGAGGGACCGGTGGCGCCAGTGCTCGGCAGCCTCGCCTCTGTCAGTGCGCCCCAGGGCAGCTGTGGCTACATTGTAGCTCATCCCCACCAGTGTGTGAATGTGTGTGTGAATGGGTGAATGACTGGTTGTGTTGTAAAGCGCCTTGGGGGGTTTCAGGACTCTAGAAGGCGCTATATCAAATACAGGCCATTTACCATTTACCATTTACCATTAGGGGGGCTTTAGATTGTCAGAGGGAGAGAACAGGGTCAACTAATTGTTACTTTGCTGTGGGAACCAGGCCTGAACTGACACTGATCAACTGCCAGAATGTCATTATTGTTACCTAGCGACAACAGACACTAGACAAGCTTTCTGTCTGGGTTTGCTTGTGTTGATTACCTGCTGCAGCCATCAAGGTGACACCAGAACCAAGAAACTCACAAACTACCCGATGGATTTTAACAAAGCTCATAAATCAATCATCGGCTTAAATTCAAGTTATAGCTTTTTCTTTTGGTGTTGATGTAACAGAGGTCCGACCTGATGTTTTTTCTCTGTCTGATCATGTTCCTGTTGAGTTTTCTGCTTTATTTTCAGACTCTTTATTTTCCTATAAGGATTCTTCTGATCCTGAGATCCTCCTGTCCCTCTTTTCTGCCTCTTGCACTTCCGTTGCCTCTCTAAGATCGCGACGTTCCCGCTGTCGCTCTGACCCTTGGCTCAACCTTCATACCCGTACTGCTAGACGGGAATGTAGGAGATGTGAGCAGCGGTGGATAAAGGTTAAATCTCCGGCTTCCTTCCAGCTTCTCCGTGAGGCCTGGAGGAATTACCAACGTGTCATTCGGAAGGCCCATTTTCTGCTATTGTTACCGAATATTCGGGTAACCAGCGTGTCCTCTACTCCACTGTTAATGCACTTTTGTCACCCAACGTTCCTCTGCTTAATACGTCTGAGGAAAGGCGCACCCAATTTTTGCATTTTTTATCTCTAAAGTTGCCACAATTAGGGTTCAGATTCTGCCTCCCTCCCACCCAGAAGCCCCTGTTTGTTCTCCATTATATTCCTCTGAGTGTTTTCCCCCCATCTCTTCTTCCTCTCTATGGAAGACAGTGGCTGCTATGAAGCCCTCTGGCTCTCCTTGTGATATTATGCCCCCTTGCTTCCTGAAGGAAATTTCCCAAGTTATTGCTCAACCAATTCTGGAGATCCTTAATGCAAGCGGGGATTGTTCCCCAGGAGTTTAAGCATGCGGTAGTCCAGCCTGTTCTAAAAATGCAAGGCTTGGACTCTAACGACTTGAACAATTACCGTCCTATATCTAAGCTCTCTTTCCTCTCCAAATTGTTGGAGAGGATGGTTTTTATCCAGATTTTTAATTTCATTACATCCAACAATGTTTTAGATATTTTTATGTCTGGTTTTCGCCCTCACCACAGCACTGAGACTGCTCTTATTTGTGTTTTTAACAATAGTTTGCTTGCCTCTGACTCTGGTTCTCATGTGTTGTTGGTGCTTTTAGACTTATCTGCCGCCTTTGACACTTTCGACCACGCAATCCTGTTACAGCGACTGGAGCAGTTAATTGGCATTTGTGGAACAAGTTTAGAGTGGTTCCGCTCCTATTTCAATGGCAGATGTTTTAATGTAGCCCTGGGAAACTGTGCCTCTGGAGTGGCACCTCTTTTTTGTGGGGTTCCCCAGGGGTCCGTTTTAGGTCCACTTCTTTTTAATCTATACATTTTACCTTTGGCAGCCATTTTTAGAAAATTCCGGGTAAATTTTCATCTCTACGCTGACGATTGTCAGCTTTATATGGCCCTAAAATCTGCTGACCCTGTGCAACCACTGACTGACTGCCTGAGTGAAGTCAGGTCCTGGCTCTCGGCTAATTTTCTCAATCTTAACAGCTCCAAACTGGAGGCTATTCTCTTTGCCCCCGATCCCCCTCGGCTGTGGAGCCATCTCTGCCCCCGTCATTGACAGTTTTGGTGAAGCCAACAATTACAAATTTGGTGGTCACTCTGGACACTTTTTTAAAAATGGATGCACAGATAAATCAGGTAGTCAAGTCGTGTTTCTTTCATCTTTGCCGGCTGGCCTAACTAAAATCTGTCCTGAACAAAAAAGATCTTCAGTCAGGTGTTCATGTCTTTGTAACGTCACGTCTGGACTATGCCAACTCTCTCTTATTTGGTATTCCCTCTTCTTCAGTGGTACGCCTCCAATTGGTTCAGAATGCTGCAGCAAGGTTTCTTACGGGCATAGACCGACGGCAGCACATCACCCCTGTTTTGGCAAATTTACACTGGCTTCCAGTTCGGTTTCGTATTAAGTTCAAAATTCTTCTGTTGGTTTACAAATCTATCCATGAAATGGCCCCCTCTTATTTGGCACATCTTTTGAGTCCCTATGTTCTGGCGCGAACCCTGAGGTTCTCTGACCAGCACCTTCTGCTTGTCCCTCCGGCCCGCTATATGGCCCGTCGTGAACAGGCTTTTTCAGTTTGTGCGCCTAAACTTTGGAACCAACTCCCCCTGATGGTCCGACTTGTCCCCTCCCTTCCCACTTTTAAAGTATGTTTGAAGACTTATTTTTATTCCCTGGCCTTCCCGGCTGAGACTGTTTAACCCTTGTGCTTTCCGGTTTTTTTTTTGTTGTTATTATAGTTTTTATTTGTTTTATCTATTTTGTGTTGCTGTATCTAGTTTGGTGACGTATTGTCGTGTACAGCACTTTGGTTGGCGTCGCCGTTTAAATGTGCTTTATAAATAAAGGTTGATGATGATGATGATGATGATGATAGCAACTATTTTTGAAGCAATACAGCTCTCAATAGGTCTGTTAAAAGTTGAGCATGAGTCACTGGTTTGCCTGTTGATGTCACCATACCTCTATTCTTCCAGTGCTGAGCAAACACATGCACCGTGGAGAATGCATTTTGACTGTCTGTGTGTATGGTCACCTTTTTGTCTTTCATTAATCTGCATGCTTCAGTTAAAGCCACAATTTCAGCTGCTTGTGCTGAAAAGGTGTTAGGTAGTTTTCCTGCGTTAAGGATTTTTGTTGCTGAAACTACTGAAAAAAACAGTTTGTGTTTTTCCAAATTGGTCTTTTCTGGATGAACCATCTACAAACAGTATTTCTCCTTCATTTAGTGATTGATCTTTTAAGTCAGTTCTAGGTTTTGCCAGCTGTTCAGTTTCTTGTTGGCAATCATGTGGTTGACCATCATCTGATGTAGGCATACGTAAGTGTGGCTGGATTTAGAGTCGTGCACCGCTCAGTGGTTAAATGTGGTTGTGAGAGCAGCGTTGCTATGCAGGATAAATAGCGTGCAGGTGAGAGAATGTCATGTTGGTCTGGAGCAGAGGTGCAGACACAGTGTGAGGCACTTTCAGAGTCAGTGGATGAAACGGTACAATACCTGCACTACACTCAACTGCCATGGAGGCCGCTATTACTGCTCTTACACATGGAGGAAGAGCAGATGCCACACTGTCTAGTTTGGATGAGTAATAAGCTACAGGCCTCAGTTTTGCTCCTTGTTGTGACAATACGGAAGTCATGAAGTGCCCTTTGCAGTCCACCATTTGAATAAATGGTTTCTGTGTTGTAGGCACTAGGTCAGGACCAAGGCTCAGCATTCTTAAAGTCTCCTCATGAGACTTCAAACAGTACAGCAACTATTCAGCATAAATGGTAAAATCTTTAAATGTAATAAAAGCATAAAGCTTGATAAAAGAAAACACATAATTATCTTAACAGGAGCTAAATCCTTCCAAGACTGCATTTGAACACTGATTCTTTTACGAGACAAAATGATTCATAACTGTTTCTAAATGCATTTGGGGGGATGTGTTTATTGATGTTGTCTCACTGTCTTTCATAACCCTACCACTGAACCCAGAGAGAGACCATTTCTTTGTTAGAGGGCAAACTAAGTCAGCTGGGATTCACTGACTCTTAAGTGAAAACCTTCATGATCTATCCAGGTCTAAACCACAGCTCACATAGATGCGTTCCACTTTGATGGCTCTGATAGAATGGTTGAAAAGTTGTTACCAACTAATAGTGATTATCTTCTGAGTTTTGAAAGAAACACTTTTTTACATTTTGCTTTCCGGTTGGAGCAGTTTTCACCAATTCATCAACGAAAATTAGGGGTCACAAGGAAACCGAAAGACAGAAGGGTGAGTAACGTAGGACCAGCTCTAAAATACCTCACCTCTGATGATTCACTCATCTAAAGAACAAACGGGATCAAAGACAAGCTTCTTTTTATTTATCAGGATTTTAAAGAAGAGGAAAATCCTGAGGTCAAAGCAAGGAGACACAAAGAGGAGGAGGTACCGTTGTCTTTTTCCGACTCTTTCTGTGGAACGACTTTATGACAGAACGTCCGTTGGGTTTCTGCTCACAGCTAAAGCCGCTGTATAAGGAGCTGCTGTACACTATTCTACATAAGATTGGTAAATCAACATCAGCTGAGGTCTTCACAGAGGCACAGCTTCACCTTTATATCCAGGAGGTAATCTCAGATTAGTGCTTAGTAACTCACAGTTGGGCTGATGACTGATGGATTTTTCCTTTCCTCCTACCAGGCTTTCACCATGACTAAATCAGAGCACGACACTCTGGTAGAGAAAGTACGAAACACAGAGGTGAGAAATGGAAACCAGTACGTTTTTTTTCCAGTGAGAAGACCCCAGCATCTGTTTGTAGAGTTCCAACGAAGAATCTTAACATCTATGTGGTGAAAACTGCATCACTGGAATCATTGAACCGCCTTTCTTACCATCATATCTGACTGATTGTTCTACCCAACAGCCTCCAGTGTACTGTCTGATGGTCACTGTGAAAGAAGCCAAAGGAATTCTGGGTAAAGACATCAGCGGTGAGTTCTCGTGTGACCACTGCAAACAAAATAATTACCCTTGAAGTTCTCTTCACAGTTCTTTTAATTCATTATTTTGGAAGAAGCAACGTCTGTTTGAGAAGAACAAAGTCCTGAGTTCTGACAGCTCCACTTCAAAAAGCCATAAAACTTTTTGAGTTAACTTCTTTTATATCATTTATCAAAGTTGTTTGTGACAGCATGGTGGAACTTTACTCCATCCATCCATTTTCATTACCCGCTCATGGTCGCGGGGGGGCTGGTGCCAGCAGTCTCGGGCATGCAGGTAGGGTTCTCCCTGGACAGGATGCCAGCACATCGCAGGGAAACACAAAGACACACACAGAACCATGCACACACACACACACACACACACACACACACACACACACACACACGCAACACACACACACACACCTAAGGACAATTTATGAGAGACAAATGAACCTGACAGTCATGTTTTTGGACCGTGGGAGGAAGCCAGAGTACCCGGAGAGAACCCACGATGCACAGGGAGAACATGCTAACTACATGCAGAAAGACCCCGGGATTTGAACCCAGGATCTTCTTGCTACAAGGCATCCAGATGTAGTATCTAACTAACTAAATCCAGCAATTACCTTGTCTACTGCCCTCTGGAGGAGGATCTCCAGGTAGCAAGGGCCAATTTTATTTCTCCTTTACTGTTATACTGTTGGTTACATAAAAAAGTTAATCATGCTATTATATATTTGTTATATAATGTTTTATGTGGATTAAAGGTAAATCGGTAGCCATCATAAATACACTTCTATGTATTTCCATCAGGTTTTAGCGACCCTTACTGCCTGCTAATGATGCTGGAAGACGAGAAGATTAAGACGAGTCGCTCACAGTCCAAACCCTGTAAATCTGTTGTTAAGGACTTTGTAGCAGACGACAAAATTTATCAGACAGAGATAAAGAAACAGACGCTAAACCCCATTTGGAATCAAACCTTTGTACTGTAAGTCAACTCTCCTTCAGAATTTCCACAGAAGACAGTGGGTCATGCTCATCACTTGCTTTGCTTCTACAGAGAATTTGGCCATATCAGTGGTACCGCCTTCCACCTTGAGATGTGGTGAGTAGAAAGCACAACTGCCTGCTTCATAAAACGTTTAAAAACCATACTCGCTGCATTTTGCTCTCATCTGCCACAGGGACAAAGATGAAGAGGTGTCCCTCACTCAGAAACTGGAGGAGATCAGAACCAGCTTGACCAGTATAAGAAGGTCATAGATGCACTGTGTGACTGACACTCAGAAAACCTTGACCAAATAAAACAGGCAAACACCATCCCGATTATTTTCTCCCCAGGATGATCAAAGAGGCCAAAAAAGAAAAAGGCACAGATGACTTTTTGGGAAATATTGTTCTGAAACTGCAGGTAGTAAAAGATGTTAATGTTCTACTGTTTTTCTGTACGTCAACTGCTTACCTGGGTTTCGGATTTTGTCACAATGCTGTAGGATCTCCACTGCACCGAGGACAACTGGTACAAACTGGAGCCCCGAACAGAAACCTATCCCGATCGAGGCCAGTGTCACCTCAACCTGAAGTTCATCCACAAAGCTGTAAGTGAATTTCATCTGTCAGCCAAGCTTGTCTCACTTCTCCAGAGCAGACTGAGAAATGTGCATCTGCAAAGGAAACCTGGGAATCATCAAACCTAAAGTCAACTTCATTGCTTTAGTTGTACCACAGTACTGTGAAAAAAATCTGCCCTCTAGCTGAGATCAACTAACGAATTTCAAACGCAGGCAAAGATAACAAAAGTAAATACAAAATGTAGTTTTCAAATGATGATTTTGTTTATTCCATGAACGAACCTATCCAAACCAATCTGGATCTAAGTGGAACAGTGACTGACTGGTTCCAGTGGTCATGATAACTGGTAATAGTCTCTCACGTCCCTGTGGAGGTCATTTATCCCACTCTTCTTTACAGAATAGTCTGAATTCATCCAAATCACAGGGTTCTCAGGAATGGGCTGCTGAAGTTCAAAGGTCAGGCCTTTTCCTTCAGGAGAGCAGATTTCATGGTTCCATCAGGTACAGCACGAGGTCCTGAAAGAGCAGAGTAGCCCCAGACCTTCACACTACCACCACCTCTGGTCTTGTCAGTCCTCTGGAGATTTACCAAGAAGATGTTGGTGAATGTGAGACGGTCTCTGTGCTGTTTTTAATGAACATGAGACAGGTCTCTGGGTTGTTTTTAATGAAAGTGAGACGGGTCTCTGGGTTGTTTTTAATGAACATGAGACGGGTCTCTAGGTTGTTTTTAATGAACGAGACGGGTCTCTAGGTTGTTTTTAATGAACGAGACGGGTCTGTGTTGTTTTTAATGAACATGAGACGGGTCTGTGTTGTTTTCAATGAACATGAGACGGGTCTCTGGGTTGTTTTTAATGAACATGAGACGGGTCTCTGTGTTGTTTTTAATGAAAGTGAGACAGGTCTCTGGGTTATTTTTAATGAACATGAGACGGGTCTCTAGGTTGTTTTTAATGAACATGAGACGGGTCTCTAGGTTATTTTTAATGAACATGAGACGGGTCTCTAGGTTGTTTTTAATGAACATGAGACAGGTCTCTGGGTTATTTTTAATGAACATGAGACGGGTCTCTAGGTTGTTTTTAATGAACGAGATGGGTCTCTAGGTTGTTTTTAATGAACGAGACGGGTCTGTGTTGTTTTTAATGAACATGAGACGGGTCTGTGTTGTTTTCAATGAACATGAGACGGGTCTCTGGGTTGTTTTTAATGAACATGAGACGGGTCTCTGTGTTGTTTTTAATGAAAGTGAGACAGGTCTCTGGGTTGTTTTTAATGAACATGAGACAGGTCTCTGGGTTGTTTTTAATGAACATGAGACCGGTCTGTGTTGTTTTTAATGAACAGGAGACGGGTCTGTGTTGTTTTTAATGAACATGAGACCGGTCTGTGTTGTTTTTAATGAACATGAGACGGGTCTGTGTTGTTTTTAATGAACATGAGACGGGTTTCTGTGTTGTTTTTAATGAACATGAGACAGGTCTGTGTTGTTTTTAATGAACATGAGACGGGTCTGTGTTGTTTTTAATGAACATGAGACGGGTCTGTGTTGTTTTTAATGAACATGAGACGGGTTTCTGTGTTGTTTTTAATGAACATGAGGCAGGTCTGGGTTGTTTTTAATGAACATGAGGCAGGTCTGGGTTGTTTTTAATGAACATGAGACGGGTCTGTGTTGTTTTTAATGAACATGAGACGGGTCTCTGTGTTGTTTTTACTGAACATGAGACAGGTCTGTGTTGTTTTTAATGAACATGAGACGGGTCTCAAGGTTGTTTTTAATGAACATGAGACGGGTCTCTAGGTTGTTTTTAATGAACATGAGACGGGTCTCTAGGTTGTTTTTAATGAACATAACACGGGTCTCTAGGTTGTTTTTAATGAACATGAGACAGGTCTCTGGGTTATTTTTAATTTACATGATACGGGTCTGTGTTGTTTTTAATGAACTAGAGACAGGTCTGTGTCATTTTTAATGAACATGAGACGGGTCTGTGTTGTTTTTAATGAACATGAGACGGGTCTGTGTTGTTTTTAATGAACATGAGACGGGTCTGTGTTGTTTTTAATGAACATGGGACGGGGTTCTGTGTTGTTTTTAATGAACATGAGACGGGTCTCTGGGTTGTTTTTAATGAACATGAGACGGGTCTCTGTGTTGTTTCTAATGAAAGTGAGACAGGTCTGGGTTGTTTTTAATGAACATGAGACGGGTCTGTGTTGTTTTTAATGAACAGGAGACGGGTCTGTGTTGTTTTTAATGAACATGAGACAGGTCTGTGTTGTTTTTAATGAACATGAGACGGGTCCGTGTTGTTTTTAATGAACATGAGGCAGGTCTGGGTTGTTTTTAATGAACATGAGACGGGTCTGTGTTGTTTTTAATGAACATGAGGCAGGTCTGGGTTGTTTTTAATGAACATGAGACGGGTCTGTGTTGTTTTTAATGAACATGAGACGGGTCTGTGTTGTTTTTAATGAACATGAGACGGGTCTCTGTGTAGTTTTTACTGAACATGAGACAGGTCTGTGTTGTTTTTAATGAACATGAGACGGGTCTCTAGGTTGTTTTTAATGAACATGAGACGGGTCTCTAGGTTGTTTTTAATGAACATGAGACGGGTCTCTAGGTTGTTTTTAATGAACATGAGACAGGTCTCTGGGTTATTTTTAATTTACATGATACGGGTCTGTGTTGTTTTTAATGAACATGAGACAGGTCTCTGGGTTGTTTTTAATGAACATGAGACAGGTCTCTGGGTTGTTTTTAATGAACGAGACAGGTCTGTGTTGTTTTTAATGAACATGAGACGGGTCGGTGTTGTTTTTAATGAACATGAGACAGGTCTCTGGGTTGTTTTTAATGAACATGAGACGGGTCTCTGTGTTGTTTTTAATGAAAGTGAGATGGGTCTGTGTTGTTTTTAATGAACATGAGACGGGTCTGTGTTGTTTTTAATGAACATGATACGGGTCTGTGTTGTTTTTAATGAAAGTGAGACAGGTCTGTGTTGTTTTTAATGAACATGAGATGGGTCTGTGTTGTTTTTAATGAACATGAGACGGGTCTGTGTTGTTTTTAGTGAACATGAGACGGGTCGGTGTTGTTTTTAATGAACATGAGATGGGTCTTTGGGTTGTTTTTAATGAACATGATACAGGTCTGTGTTGTTTTTAATGAACATGAGACAGGTCTGTGTTGTTTTTAATGAACATGAGACGGGTCTCTGGGTTGTTTTTAATGAACATGAGACGGGTCTGTGTTGTTTTTAATGAAAGTGAGACAGGTCTGTGTTGTTTTTAATGAACATGAGATGGGTCTGTGTTGTTTTTAATGAACATGAGACGGGTCTGTGTTGTTTTTAGTGAACATGAGACGGGTCTGTGTTGTTTTTAATGAACATGAGATGGGTCTTTGGGTTGTTTTTAATGAACATGAGACAGGTCTGTGTTGTTTTTAATGAGACGGGTCTGTGTTGTTTTTAATGAACATGAGACGGGTCTGGGTTGTTTTTAATGAACATGAGACGGGTCTGTGTTGTTTTTAATGAACAGGAGACGGGTCTGTGTTGTTTTTAATGAACATGAGACGGGTCTGTGTTGTTTTTAATGAACATGAGACGGGTCTGTGTTGTTTTTAATGAACATGAGATGGGTCTTTGGGTTGTTTTTAATGAACATGAGACAGGTCTGTGTTGTTTTTAATGAGACGGGTCTGTGTTGTTTTTAATGAACATGAGACGGGTCTGTGTTGTTTTTAATGAACATGAGACGGGTCTGTGTTGTTTTTAATGAACATGAGACGGGTCTGTGTTGTTTTTAATGAACATGAGACGGGTCTGGGTTGTTTTTAATGAACGAGACGGGTCTGTGTTGTTTTTAATGAACATGAGACGGGTCTGTGTTGTTTTTAATGAACATGAGACGGGTCTGTGTTGTTTTAATGAACATGAGATGGGTCTTTGGGTTGTTTTTAATGAACATGAGACAGGTCTGTGTTGTTTTTAATGAACATGAGACGGGTCTGTGTTGTTTTTAATGAACATGAGACGGGTCTCTGTGTTGTTTTTAATGAACATGAGACAGGTCTCTGGGTTGTTTTTAATGAACATGAGACAGGTCTCTGGGTTGTTTTTAATGAACATGAGACGGGTCTCTGGGTTGTTTTTAATGAACATGAGACGGGTCTGGGTTGTTTTTAATGAACATGAGACGGGTCTGGGTTGTTTTTAATGAACATGAGACAGGTCTCTGGGTTGTTTTTAATGAACATGAGACGGGTCTCTGTGTTGTTTTTAATGAACATGAGACGGGTCTCTGTGTTGTTTTTAATGAACATGAGACAGGTCTGTGTTGTTTTTAATGAACATGAGACGGGTCTGTGTTGTTTTTAATGAACATGAGACGGGTCTCTGTGTTGTTTTTACTGAACATGAGACAGGTCTGTGTTGTTTTTAATGAACATGAGACGGGTCTCTAGGTTGTTTTTAATGAACATGAGACGGGTCTCTAGGTTGTTTTTAATGAACATGACACGGGTCTCTAGGTTGTTTTTAATGAACATGAGACAGGTCTCTGGGTTATTTTTAATTTACATGATACGGGTCTGTGTTGTTTTTAATGAACATGAGACAGGTCTGTGTTGTTTTTAATGAACATGAGACGGGTCTGTGTTGTTTTTAATGAACATGAGACGGGTCTGTGTTGTTTTTAATGAACATGAGACGGGTTTCTGTGTTGTTTTTAATGAACATGAGACGGGTCTCTGGGTTGTTTTTAATGAACATGAGACGGGTCTCTGTGTTGTTTTTAATGAAAGTGAGACAGGTCTGGGTTGTTTTTAATGAACATGAGACCGGTCTGTGTTGTTTTTAATGAACAGGAGACGGGTCTGTGTTGTTTTTAATGAACAGGAGACGGGTCTGTGTTGTTTTTAATGAACATGAGACGGGTCTGTGTTGTTTTTAATGAACATGAGACGGGTCTGTGTTGTTTTTAATGAACATGAGGCAGGTCTGGGT